ACATGGTGCATGGGTACCTTGTGCCTGCTGTGGAACATGGTGCATGGGTACCTTGTGCCTGCTGTGGAACATGGTGCATGGGTACCTTGTGCCTGCTGTGGAACATGGTGCATGGGTACCTTGTGCCTGCTGTGGAACATGGTGCATGGGTACCTTGTGCCTGCTGTGGAACATGGTGCATGGGTACCTTGTGCCTGCTGTGGAACATGGTGCATGGGTACCTTGTGCCTGCTGTGGAACATGGTGCATGGGTACCTTGTGCCTGCTGTGGAACATGGTGCATGGGTACCTTGTGCCTGCTGTGGAACATGGTGCATGGGTACCTTGTGCCTGCTGTGGAACATGGTGCATGGGTACCTTGTGCCTGCTGTGGAACATGGTGCATGGGTACCTTGTGCCTGCTGTGGAACATGGTGCATGGGTACCTTGTGCCTGCTGTGGAACATGGTGCATGGGTACCTTGTGCCTGCTGTGGAACATGGTGCATGGGTACCTTGTGCCTGCTGTGGAACATGGTGCATGGGTACCTTGTGCCTGCTGTGGAACATGGTGCATGGGTACCTTGTGCCTGCTGTGGAACATGGTGCATGGGTACCTTGTGCCTGCTGTGGAACATGGTGCATGGGTACCTTGTGCCTGCTGTGGAACATGGTGCATGGGTACCTTGTGCCTGCTGTGGAACATGGTGCATGGGTACCTTGTGCCTGCTGTGGAACATGGTGCATGGGTACCTTGTGCCTGCTGTGGAACATGGTGCATGGGTACCTTGTGCCTGCTGTGGAACATGGTGCATGGGTACCTTGTGCCTGCTGTGGAACATGGTGCATGGGTACCTTGTGCCTGCTGTGGAACATGGTGCATGGGTACCTTGTGCCTGCTGTGGAACATGGTGCATGGGTACCTTGTGCCTGCTGTGGAACATGGTGCATGGGTACCTTGTGCCTGCTGTGGAACATGGTGCATGGGTACCTTGTGCCTGCTGTGGAACATGGTGCATGGGTACCTTGTGCCTGCTGTGGAACATGGTGCATGGGTACCTTGTGCCTGCTGTGGAACATGGTGCATGGGTACCTTGTGCCTGCTGTGGAACATGGTGCATGGGTACCTTGTGCCTGCTGTGGAACATGGTGCATGGGTACCTTGTGCCTGCTGTGGAACATGGTGCATGGGTACCTTGTGCCTGCTGTGGAACATGGTGCATGGGTACCTTGTGCCTGCTGTGGAACATGGTGCATGGGTACCTTGTGCCTGCTGTGGAACATGGTGCATGGGTACCTTGTGCCTGCTGTGGAACATGGTGCATGGGTACCTTGTGCCTGCTGTGGAACATGGTGCATGGGTACCTTGTGCCTGCTGTGGAACATGGTGCATGGGTACCTTGTGCCTGCTGTGGAACATGGTGCATGGGTACCTTGTGCCTGCTGTGGAACATGGTGCATGGGTACCTTGTGCCTGCTGTGGAACATGGTGCATGGGTACCTTGTGCCTGCTGTGGAACATGGTGCATGGGTACCTTGTGCCTGCTGTGGAACATGGTGCATGGGTGCCTTGTGCCTGCTGTGGAACATGGTGCATGGGTGCCTTGTGCCTGCTGTGGAACATGGTGCATGGGTGCCTTGTGCCTGCTGTGGAACATGGTGCATGGGTACCTTGTGCCTGCTGTGGAACATGGTGCATGGGTGCCTTGTGCCTGCTGTGGAACATGGTGCATGGGTGCCTTGTGCCTGCTGTGGAACATGGTGCATGGGTGCCTTGTGCCTGCTGTGGAACATGGTGCATGGGTGCCTTGTGCCTGCTGTGGAACATGGTGCATGGGTACCTTGTGCCTGCTGTGGAACATGGTGCATGGGTACCTTGTGCCTGCTGTGGAACATGGTGCATGGGTACCTTGTGCCTGCTGTGGAACATGGTGCATGGGTACCTTGTGCCTGCTGTGGAACATGGTGCATGGGTACCTTGTGCCTGCTGTGGAACATGGTGCATGGGTACCTTGTGCCTGCTGTGGAACATGGTGCATGGGTACCTTGTGCCTGCTGTGGAACATGGTGCATGGGTACCTTGTGCCTGCTGTGGAACATGGTGCATGGGTACCTTGTGCCTGCTGTGGAACATGGTGCATGGGTACCTTGTGCCTGCTGTGGAACATGGTGCATGGGTACCTTGTGCCTGCTGTGGAACATGGTGCATGGGTACCTTGTGCCTGCTGTGGAACATGGTGCATGGGTACCTTGTGCCTGCTGTGGAACATGGTGCATGGGTACCTTGTGCCTGCTGTGGAACATGGTGCATGGGTACCTTGTGCCTGCTGTGGAACATGGTGCATGGGTACCTTGTGCCTGCTGTGGAACATGGTGCATGGGTACCTTGTGCCTGCTGTGGAACATGGTGCATGGGTACCTTGTGCCTGCTGTGGAACATGGTGCATGGGTACCTTGTGCCTGCTGTGGAACATGGTGCATGGGTACCTTGTGCCTGCTGTGGAACATGGTGCATGGGTACCTTGTGCCTGCTGTGGAACATGGTGCATGGGTACCTTGTGCCTGCTGTGGAACATGGTGCATGGGTACCTTGTGCCTGCTGTGGAACATGGTGCATGGGTACCTTGTGCCTGCTGTGGAACATGGTGCATGGGTACCTTGTGCCTGCTGTGGAACATGGTGCATGGGTACCTTGTGCCTGCTGTGGAACATGGTGCATGGGTACCTTGTGCCTGCTGTGGAACATGGTGCATGGGTACCTTGTGCCTGCTGTGGAACATGGTGCATGGGTACCTTGTGCCTGCTGTGGAACATGGTGCATGGGTACCTTGTGCCTGCTGTGGAACATGGTGCATGGGTACCTTGTGCCTGCTGTGGAACATGGTGCATGGGTACCTTGTGCCTGCTGTGGAACATGGTGCATGGGTACCTTGTGCCTGCTGTGGAACATGGTGCATGGGTACCTTGTGCCTGCTGTGGAACATGGTGCATGGGTACCTTGTGCCTGCTGTGGAACATGGTGCATGGGTACCTTGTGCCTGCTGTGGAACATGGTGCATGGGTACCTTGTGCCTGCTGTGGAACATGGTGCATGGGTACCTTGTGCCTGCTGTGGAACATGGTGCATGGGTACCTTGTGCCTGCTGTGGAACATGGTGCATGGGTACCTTGTGCCTGCTGTGGAACATGGTGCATGGGTACCTTGTGCCTGCTGTGGAACATGGTGCATGGGTACCTTGTGCCTGCTGTGGAACATGGTGCATGGGTACCTTGTGCCTGCTGTGGAACATGGTGCATGGGTACCTTGTGCCTGCTGTGGAACATGGTGCATGGGTACCTTGTGCCTGCTGTGGAACATGGTGCATGGGTACCTTGTGCCTGCTGTGGAACATGGTGCATGGGTACCTTGTGCCTGCTGTGGAACATGGTGCATGGGTACCTTGTGCCTGCTGTGGAACATGGTGCATGGGTACCTTGTGCCTGCTGTGGAACATGGTGCATGGGTACCTTGTGCCTGCTGTGGAACATGGTGCATGGGTACCTTGTGCCTGCTGTGGAACATGGTGCATGGGTACCTTGTGCCTGCTGTGGAACATGGTGCATGGGTACCTTGTGCCTGCTGTGGAACATGGTGCATGGGTACCTTGTGCCTGCTGTGGAACATGGTGCATGGGTACCTTGTGCCTGCTGTGGAACATGGTGCATGGGTACCTTGTGCCTGCTGTGGAACATGGTGCATGGGTACCTTGTGCCTGCTGTGGAACATGGTGCATGGGTACCTTGTGCCTGCTGTGGAACATGGTGCATGGGTACCTTGTGCCTGCTGTGGAACATGGTGCATGGGTACCTTGTGCCTGCTGTGGAACATGGTGCATGGGTACCTTGTGCCTGCTGTGGAACATGGTGCATGGGTACCTTGTGCCTGCTGTGGAACATGGTGCATGGGTACCTTGTGCCTGCTGTGGAACATGGTGCATGGGTACCTTGTGCCTGCTGTGGAACATGGTGCATGGGTACCTTGTGCCTGCTGTGGAACATGGTGCATGGGTACCTTGTGCCTGCTGTGGAACATGGTGCATGGGTACCTTGTGCCTGCTGTGGAACATGGTGCATGGGTACCTTGTGCCTGCTGTGGAACATGGTGCATGGGTACCTTGTGCCTGCTGTGGAACATGGTGCATGGGTACCTTGTGCCTGCTGTGGAACATGGTGCATGGGTACCTTGTGCCTGCTGTGGAACATGGTGCATGGGTACCTTGTGCCTGCTGTGGAACATGGTGCATGGGTACCTTGTGTCTGCTGTGGAACATGGTGCATGGGTACCTTGTGTCTGCTGTGGAACATGGTGCATGGGTACCTTGTGCCTGCTGTGGAACATGGTGCATGGGTACCTTGTGTCTGCTGTGGAACATGGTGCATGGGTACCTTGTGTCTGCTGTGGAACATGGTGCATGGGTACCTTGTGTCTGCTGTGGAACATGGTGCATGGGTACCTTGTGTCTGCTGTGGAACATGGTGCATGGGTACCTTGTGCCTGCTGTGGAACATGGTGCATGGGTACCTTGTGCCTGCTGTGGAACATGGTGCATGGGTACCTTGTGTCTGCTGTGGAACATGGTGCATGGGTACCTTGTGTCTGCTGTGGAACATGGTGCATGGGTACCTTGTGTCTGCTGTGGAACATGGTGCATGGGTACCTTGTGCCTGCTGTGGAACATGGTGCATGGGTACCTTGTGCCTGCTGTGGAACATGGTGCATGGGTACCTTGTGCCTGCTGTGGAACATGGTGCATGGGTACCTTGTGCCTGCTGTGGAACATGGTGCATGGGTACCTTGTGCCTGCTGTGGAACATGGTGCATGGGTACCTTGTGCCTGCTGTGGAACATGGTGCATGGGTACCTTGTGCCTGCTGTGGAACATGGTGCATGGGTACCTTGTGCCTGCTGTGGAACATGGTGCATGGGTACCTTGTGTCTGCTGTGGAACATGGTGCATGGGTACCTTGTGTCTGCTGTGGAACATGGTGCATGGGTACCTTGTGTCTGCTGTGGAACATGGTGCATGGGTACCTTGTGCCTGCTGTGGAACATGGTGCATGGGTACCTTGTGTCTGCTGTGGAACATGGCATATATCCGCCGCTTATACCGCTCCTTCTCCTCCTCATCCTCGCACTCATCCATTTCAGTAAATATCCGCTCCGCTTCCTCCCTGCCACGCACGCAAGGCAGGGCAGCAGCATGTACACATGCCTCAGAGAGCATCACAGCAGCATGTACACATGCCTCAGAGAGCATCACAGCAGCATGTACACATGCCTCAGAGAGCATCACAGCAGCATGTACACATGCCTCAGAGAGCATCACATGGCCCACGTGTGAGCCCTCCCCTCCCCTTCCTGAGCACAGGTGCCTCACCGCTGGGCATCGAGGATGCAGTGCCTCACCGCTGGGCGTGGAGGATGCAGTGCCTCACCGCTGGGCGTCGAGGATGCAGTGCCTCACCGCTGGGCGTCGAGGATGCAGTGCCTCACCGCTGGGCATGGAGGATGCAGTGGCTCACCGCTGGGCGTGGAGGATGCAGTGCCTCACCGCTGGGCGTCGAGGATGCAGTGCCTCACCGCTGGGCGTCGAGGATGCAATGCCTCACCGCTGGGCGTCGAGGATGCAGTGCCTCACCGCTGGAGTCGAGGATGCAGTGCCTCACCGCTGGGCGTCGAGGATGCAGTGCCTCACCGCTGGGCGTCGAGGATGCAGTGCCTCACCGCTGGGCGTCGAGGATGCAGTGCCTCACCGCTGGAGTCGAGGATGCAGTGCCTCACCGCTGGGCGTCGAGGATGCAGTGCCTCACCGCTGGGCGTGGAGGATGCAGTGCCTCACCGCTGGGCGTGGAGGATGCAGTGCCTCACCGCTGGGCGTCGAGGATGCAGTGCCTCACCGCTGGGCGTCGAGGATGCAGTGCCTCACCGCTGGGCGTCGAGGATGCAGTGCCTCACCGCTGGGCGTCGAGGATGCAGTGCCTCACCGCTGGGCGTCGAGGATGCAGTGCCTCACCGCTGGGCGTCGAGGATGCAGTGCCTCACCGCTGGGCGTCGAGGATGCAGTGCCTCACCGCTGGGCGACGAGGATGCAGTGCCTCACCGCTGGAGTCGAGGATGCAGTGCCTCACCGCTGGGCGTCGAGGATGCAGTGCCTCACCGCTGGGCGTCGAGGATGCAGTGCCTCACCGCTGGGCGTGGAGGATGCAGTGCCTCACCGCTGGGCGTCGAGGATGCAGTGCCTCACCGCTGGGCGTGGAGGATGCAGTACCTCACCGCTGGGCGTCGAGGATGCAGTGCCTCACCGGTGGGCGTCGAGGATGCAGTGCCTCACCGCTGGGCGTCGAGGATGCAGTGCCTCACCGCTGGAGTCGAGGATGCAGTGCCTCACCGCTGGGCGTCGAGGATGCAGTGCCTCACCGCTGGGCGTCGAGGATGCAGTGCCTCACCGCTGGGCGTCGAGGATGCAGTGCCTCACCGCTGGAGTCGAGGATGCAGTGCCTCACCGCTGGGCGTCGAGGATGCAGTGCCTCACCGCTGGGCGTGGAGGATGCAGTGCCTCACCGCTGGGCGTCGAGGATGCAGTGCCTCACCGCTGGGCGTCGAGGATGCAGTGCCTCACCGCTGGGCGTCGAGGATGCAGTGCCTCACCGCTGGGCGTCGAGGATGCAGTGCCTCACCGCTGGGCGTCGAGGATGCAGTGCCTCACCGCTGGGCGTCGAGGATGCAGTGCCTCACCGCTGGGCGTCGAGGATGCAGTGCCTCACCGCTGGGCGTCGAGGATGCAGTGCCTCACCGCTGGGCGTGGAGGATGCAGTGCCTCACCGCTGGGCGTGGAGGATGCAGTGCCTCACCGCTGGGCGTGGAGGATGCAGTGCCTCACCGCTGGGCGTGGAGGATGCAGTGCCTCACCGCTGGGCGTCGAGGATGCAGTGCCTCACCGCTGGGCGTCGAGGATGCAGTGCCTCACCGCTGGGCGTGGAGGATGCAGTGCCTCACCGCTGGGCGTCGAGGATGCAGTGCCTCACCGGTGGGCGTCGAGGATGCAGTGCCTCACCGCTGGGCGTCGAGGATGCAGTGCCTCACCGCTGGGCGTCGAGGATGCAGTGCCTCACCGCTGGGCGTCGAGGATGCAGTGCCTCACCGCTGGGCGTCGAGGATGCAGTGCCTCACCGCTGGGCGTCGAGGATGCAGTGCCTCACCGCTGGGCGTCGAGGATGCAGTGCCTCACCGCTGGGCGTGGAGGATGCAGTGCCTCACCGCTGGGCGTCGAGGATGCAGTGCCTCACCGCTGGGCGTCGAGGATGCAGTGCCTCACCGCTGGGCGACGAGGATGCAGTGCCTCACCGCTGGAGTCGAGGATGCAGTGCCTCACCGCTGGGCGTCGAGGATGCAGTGCCTCACCGCTGGGCGTCGAGGATGCAGTGCCTCACCGCTGGGCGTGGAGGATGCAGTGCCTCACCGCTGGGCGTCGAGGATGCAGTGCCTCACCGCTGGGCGTGGAGGATGCAGTACCTCACCGCTGGGCGTCGAGGATGCAGTGCCTCACCGGTGGGCGTCGAGGATGCAGTGCCTCACCGGTGGGCGTCGAGGATGCAGTGCCTCACCGCTGGGCGTCGAGGATGCAGTGCCTCACCGCTGGGCGTCGAGGATGCAGTGCCTCACCGCTGGGCGTGGAGGATGCAGTGCCTCACCGGTGGGCGTCGAGGATGCAGTGCCTCACCGGTGGGCGTCGAGGATGCAGTGCCTCACCGCTGGGCGTCGAGGATGCAGTGCCTCGCCGCTGGGCGTCGAGGATGCAGTGCCTCACCGCTGGGCGTTGAGGATGCAGTGCCTCACCGCTGGGCGTCGAGGATGCAGTGCCTCACCGCTGGGCGTCGAGGATGCAGTGCCTCACCGCTGGGCGTCGAGGATGCAGTGCCTCACCGCTGGGCGTCGAGGATGCAGTGCCTCACCGCTGGGCGTCGAGGATGCAGTGCCTCACCGCTGGGCGTGGAGGATGCAGTGCCTCACCGGTGGGCGTCGAGGATGCAGTGCCTCACCGGTGGGCGTCGAGGATGCAGTGCCTCACCGGTGGGCGTCGAGGATGCAGTGCCTCACCGCTGGGCGTCGAGGATGCAGTGCCTCGCCGCTGGGCGTCGAGGATGCAGTGCCTCACCGCTGGGCGTCGAGGATGCAGTGCCTCACCGCTGGGCGTCGAGGATGCAGTGCCTCACCGCTGGGCGTCGAGGATGCAGTGCCTCACCGCTGGGCGTCGAGGATGCAGTGCCTCACCGCTGGGCGTCGAGGATGCAGTGCCTCACCGCTGGGCGTGGAGGATGCAGTGCCTCACCGCTGGGCGTCGAGGATGCAGTGCCTCACCGCTGGGCGTGGAGGATGCAGTGCCTCACCGCTGGGCGTCGAGGATGCAGTGCCTCACCGCTGGGCGTGGAGGATGCAGTGCCTCACCGCTGGGCGTGGAGGATGCAGTGCCTCACCGCTGGGCGTCGAGGATGCAGTGCCTCACCGCTGGGCGTCGAGGATGCAGTGCCTCACCGCTGGGCGTCGAGGATGCAGTGCCTCACCGCTGGGCGTCGAGGATGCAGTGCCTCACCGCTGGGCGTCGAGGATGCAGTGCCTCACCGCTGGGCGTCGAGGATGCAGTGCCTCACCGCTGGGCGTCGAGGATGCAGTGCCTCACCGCTGGGCGTCGAGGATGCAGTGCCTCACCGCTGGGCGTCGAGGATGCAGTGCCTCACCGCTGGGCGTCGAGGATGCAGTGCCTCACCGCTGGGCGTCGAGGATGCAGTGCCTCACCGCTGGGCGTCGAGGATGCAGTGCCTCACCGCTGGGCGTCGAGGATGCAGTGCCTCACCGCTGGGCGTCGAGGATGCAGTGCCTCACCGCTGGGCGTCGAGGATGCAGTGCCTCACCGCTGGGCGTCGAGGATGCAGTGCCTCACCGCTGGGCGTCGAGGATGCAGTGCCTCACCGCTGGGCGTCGAGGATGCAGTGCCTCACCGCTGGGCGTCGAGGATGCAGTGCCTCACCGCTGGGCGTCGAGGATGCAGTGCCTCACCGCTGGGCGTCGAGGATGCAGTGCCTCACCGCTGGGCGTCGAGGATGCAGTGCCTCACCGCTGGGCGTCGAGGATGCAGTGCCTCACCGCTGGGCGTCGAGGATGCAGTGCCTCACCGCTGGGCGTCGAGGATGCAGTGCCTCACCGCTGGGCGTCGAGGATGCAGTGCCTCACCGCTGGGCGTCGAGGATGCAGTGCCTCACCGCTGGGCGTCGAGGATGCAGTGCCTCACCGCTGGGCGTCGAGGATGCAGTGCCTCACCGCTGGGCGTGGAGGATGCAGTGCCTCACCGCTGGGCGTCGAGGATGCAGTGCCTCACCGCTGGGCGTCGAGGATGCAGTGCCTCACCGCTGGGCGTCGAGGATGCAGTGCCTCACCGCTGGGCGTCGAGGATGCAGTGCCTCACCGCTGGGCGTGGAGGATGCAGTGCCTCACCGCTGGGCGTCGAGGATGCAGTGCCTCACCGCTGGGCATCGAGGATGCAGTGCCTCACCGCTGGGCGTCGAGGATGCAGTGCCTCACCGCTGGGCGTCGAGGATGCAGTGCCTCACCGCTGGGCGTCGAGGATGCAGTGCCTCACCGCTGGGCGTCGAGGATGCAGTGCCTCACCGCTGGGCGTCGAGGATGCAGTGCCTCACCGCTGGGCGTCGAGGATGCAGTGCCTCACCGCTGGGCGTCGAGGATGCAGTGCCTCACCGCTGGGCGTCGAGGATGCAGTGCCTCACCGCTGGGCGTCGAGGATGCAGTGCCTCACCGCTGGGCGTCGAGGATGCAGTGCCTCACCGCTGGGCGTCGAGGATGCAGTGCCTCACCGCTGGGCGTCGAGGATGCAGTGCCTCACCGCTGGGCGTGGAGGATGCAGTGCCTCACCGCTGGGCGTCGAGGATGCAGTGCCTCACCACTGGGCGTCGAGGATGCAGTGCCTCACCGCTGGGCGTCGAGGATGCAGTGCAGGCGCAGGTAGACGGCGTACTTGTCCGTGAACTCCGCGTGGTACCCCGCGTACCTGCCACCCCCGCCCCCCCCCACCATGAATCATGTGCTCCGTCAGAATGCAGCGTTCTGGGCAGGCATGGCATGCAGTGGTGGTGTGTGCTGCTATGGTACACAGTGGTGTGAGCAGGCATGGCAGGGACCCTTACTGGTCTCGAGATGTGATTGGCTCCTTGAGTTCGGGCTTGTCCTTCTCATACGCCTCATACAACGATGTGTCATGCCCCTCCCACCCCTCATCACTGCCATCCTCTCCCTCTGCCCCACCCCCCTCCTCCGCTTCCTCCTCATACCGCCTCCGCTTCTGCCTCGCCTGCCTCCCACTCTCATCTCCCTCCGCCCACCCGCCCACAGCAGCCGCGGCGGCATCTGGGGCAGGCGGGGAGTCGGGGTGGGCATCGGGCTTGTTAGCATTGCCACCCACTCCGCGCTTCATCCCACCGCCCATGTCTGCCGGCCCGCCTTCCCCTGCCCCATCCTGCCCGCCCTCCTGCCTCCTCCTCTTCTCCCTCTTCTCCCCCACCCTGCCTGCTTTACTTTTCTTCTCCTTCTTCCTCTTCTCCACCTTCCCCACCTCTCTTCGGCCCCCACTACTACCCCTTCACCCCGGCCACCTTCACCCCGGCCGCCTTCACCCCGGCCGCCTTCACCCCGGCCGCCTTCACCTTCTCGGCCCAGCGGCCCAGATCCCTTGAGCAGCCCTCGGGGTCCCTCGTCGCCCCCTCGCCCTGCACCCACCTCCTCCAACCCATCTCCATCCCCACCCTGCCTTGCCATCTCCTCCCTCACACCGCCCACCTTCTCCTTCTCCCTCGCGTCCTCATCCTCCCCACCCTTCACACGCAACCTCTTCTTTGCCTTGCTCTCCTCTTCTTGCCTTTCCTGCTTCTCCCTCCTTCCCATCTCCTGCATCTCTTTCTGCTCCTTCTCTACCTGTCTCCTCTCCGCTTCCCTCTCTTCCCTTTCCTTTTCCAGTTTCGCCCTTTTCTCCTCCTCCCTTCTTTCCCTCTCTTCTGTTTCCCTTCTCTCCCTTCCAAGCCTCTCTGTCTTCTCCTTATCATCTTTCTCCTTCTCTCTCCTCTCCCTCTCCTCCCTCGCCATCAGAGCTTTCTCCTTCTCTCGCTTTTCCTTCTCCTCTTCTTTTGCCTCCTTTTCTTGTTCTGCCCTCCGCTCTGTCTCCTCCTTCGCTCGCCGCACCTCTTCCTCTCTCATTCTCTCCTCCAATGCCACCCGCTCCGCCTCCTCCCTCTCCCTCATCCGCCGAACATTATCCTCTCTCACTCTCTTCCTCTCCTCCTCAAGCTTCTCCTTTCTCACTCTCTCCTCCTCTTCTGCCTTTCTCACTCTCTCCTCCTCTTCTGCCTTTCTCACTCGCTCCTCTTCTGCCTTCTCACTCGCTCCGCTTCTGCCTTTCTCACTCTCTCCTCTTCTACCTTTCTCACTCGCTCCTCTTCTGCCTTTCTCACTCGCTCCTCTTCTGCCGTTCTCACTCTCTCCTCCTCTTCTGCTTTTCTCACTCTCTCCCTCTCCTCTGCTTCCCTGAGTGTCCCCTCGTCCTGCTCCGTACTCTCTGTCTCCTTAGCCCTCGATTCCCTTCCAACCCATGCCTCCTCTGCGTCCCCTTCGATCCCTTCCTCCCTTTCCTCCCCTCCTTTCCCTTCCTCCCTCTTCTCTCCTTCTTTACCTTCCCCCCCGTCCGTCCCTTCCTTGCCAGCCTCATCCCTCTCACCATGCACGGCAATGCCATCTCCCACCTCCCCACTGCCATCCACCTTCAGCTCTCCCTCCTCCCCATCCTCTCCATCCTCCCCCTCCTCCCCTTGCTTCTCAAAATCAGTCTTTTCCAGTCTCCCTTCGCCCATCCCACTTTCTTTGTCCCCCCGCTCGCCACCCCTCTCGTCCCCCTCATTCTCTATCCTCACGCCCTCTCCTACCATCTCCCCCTCCTCCTCCCCCTGCCCTTCCTGCAACTCCTTCCCTCCATCCACTCCTTTCCTTCCATCCACCTCCTTCCCTCCATCTTCCCCCTTCCCCCCATCCTCCCCCTTCCCCCCATCCGCACAGGTCCCTCCTTCCCCAAGTCCAACACCAGCTTCATCAGCCATTCCCCCACTTCCCCCCTGACCACCCACCTCCTCCCCCCCAGTGCTCGCGTCTGCCTGCCCCTCCCGCGCTGCCCTCGCCTCCCTCTCCGCCCGCCCATGCCCATGCCCATGCCCATGTGCGCGCCCCTCGTGCCGCGCCCTCGCCCCCTTGCCCTCCGCCCTCTTCTCCGCCTCGCCGCCCCCCCTGCCGCTGTCCGCCCCCTCGCCATCGTCGATGTCGATGTCGATCTCACTCGCACTGCCGCTGCTGCCACTGCTGCTGCTGCCCGCATCTCCCTCCCCCTCACTCTCACTCCCGCTCCCACTCTCACTACCACTGCCACTCCCACTCCCACTTTCACTCTCACTCTCACTCCCACCCTCGCTACTCTCACCTTTCACCTGTTCCTCGCCCTCCAAACCTCCAGTCTCCCCAATGGCCCCTCCTCCCTCCCCCCTCTCTTCCCCTTCCCCATGTGAGGGCGACTCATCCCCAAACAGGTCTTCCAACCGCACCTCCTCTTCCCCACCTTCATCTCCACCTCCCTCCTCACCCGCTTCCCCCTTCTTCTCCTCACCCCCCTCCCCGCCTGCCCCTTCGCCCTTTGAGTGATCCCACCCCTCGCCCCCAGCGCCCTCCCCTAAGCCCCTCTCTCCCGCCTCTCCCCCTGCTGTGCTCACCCCCCCCTCCACCACTCTGCCCTCCTCCTCCCCCTTCCCCTCCCCCCCCACCTCTTCCTCTTCCACCACCAACTCCTCATCCTCCTCTTCCTCGTCCTCCTCCTCCTCCTCGTCCTCCTCCTCCTCCTGCTCCTTCTCCCCATGCCCATGCGCATGCGCATCTCCCCCCCCCTCCTCATCATCGAAGCCTGTCTCATTGAGGTTCAGCAGCGGCACCCTGCCCGCCCGCGCTCCCTCCCTGCCACCCCCACCCTCTGCTGCCTCACCGCCTCTGCGGGGGAACGGCCAGGGGGGAAAGGGAAAGGGGAAAGGGGTAAGGGGTTGGGGGGTATGGGGAGAGTGAGAACGGGAAGGGAGGAAGGAAAGAGGAGGGAAGGGGTAGGGGGAGGAGAAAAGGGTACGGGGCAGGAAGGCACGATGGCAAGGGATGGTGAGGGTGAGGAGCAGCAGGGCGGTGAGCATGGAAGCACAGGCACATAGAGGCTTCAGGGCAGCGATGGAGGGCCGGGGGGAGAGAGGGAAAGGGGCGAGGAGCAGGGGGGTGGTTCTCACGGGGAGTGCGGTGGAGGCGTGGACGCGGGGCGGGGGGATGCCGATGGGAGGGGGGACGTGGATGGGCGGGGGGAGGCGGCAGGTAGAGGGGAGAGAGGAGGCGTCCTTAGAGTGGAATGGGATTGCCGCGGGGAGTGTGAGGGTAGAGGGGAGTGTGAGGGCAGAGGGGAGTGTGAGGGCAGAGGGGAGTGTGAGGGCAGAGGGGAGTGTGAGGGCAGAGGGGAGTGTGAGGGCAGAGGGGAGTGTGAGGGCAGAGGGGACGTGGAGCGGCGCTGTATGGGGGACCGCCCTGCGGCTGCTGCTGCTGCTGCTGCTGCTGCAGGGTGTGCGGTGTGGGCGGGCTCCTTGACGCCTGGCAGCAGGCGGTAGTACCCCGGCGCATGCAGCCTCGCTATCTGCACGCCCCCCACACACCATGTGGGGCGGATGGGCGGTGGAGGCACAGCGGGTGCAAGACGTGGAAACAATGTGTTGAAAGATGATGTGGCAATAAACAAGTGAACGAGGAGGTTGGTAGAGAAAGGAGGCGGTTGGGAACAAATATGGTCGGGAGACTAAACTACCATTGGTCCGAACTTGAGGTTGGAATAACGAATCACAAAACAGAGGCCAATGTGATGGATTGCCAATGTGATGGATTGCCAATGTGATGGATTGCCAATGTGATGGATTGCCATGTGATGGATTGCCATGTGATGGATTGCCCAGCGAAATTGGTTGAATCAAAAGGCGGCACCACGGATGGTGGAGTGACACCCCAACACAAAGGCACACGGAAAGGGGGCTACATGCCCAAGTGAGCAGTGCATGGGTGGACAGACAAGTGTTGTAGCGGGCTACTGCATGGATTTCCAGCAGGGGAAAGAGGTAACGGTAATGAATTTCAAAAAACGAACTCCCAAAGGCAAAACCTAGACTGGCAGGTGCAATCTCTACAGAACCCCGCAGTGCGTGTGGGGGAGGGACTGACCTGCAGTGCGTGTGGGGGAGGGGAGGGACTGACCTGCCTGACGACCCTGTCGAGCTGCGCCCACTCATGCCCCGTTGCCCTCTCCATTGCCTGGTGCATGCATGCATGCACACATGCACACACACACACTCATGCACATGCACACACACACACACACACACACACATGCACACGCACACATGCCCACACACACACTCATGCACATGCACACACATGCACATGCACACACACACACATGCACATGCACACACACACACATGCACACACACACACATGCACACATGCACATGCACACACACACACACACACACACACACACACACACACACACATACAGACACACACATACAGACACGCACACCCACACGCACACGCACACGCACACGCACACACACACACACACACACACATGCACATGCACACACACACACATGCACACATGCACATGCACACACACACACACACACACACACACACACACACATACAGACACACACATACAGACACGCACACGCACACGCACACGCACACGCACACACACACACACACACACACACACACACACACACACATCCGCTTTGATCAATTAGGGCATTTCGCCCAATATCCCCGCCCTCCTTTTCTCAAACTCTCGAAGTCTTCCATCCCATTACCCTCCCCTCCCACTCCACCCTCCCTCCACCTCCCCCTCCCCCTCACCCTCTATCCCCTTACCCTCCCTACCCACTCACACCCTGCTTCCCTCGACCTCCCCCTAACTCTTCCATATTTTTTTACCCCTCTCTCTTTTATCGTCTCTCCCCTTTCCAATATCCCGCTCCCTTTTCACTGCCTCCACTGCCCCTCTCCCTGTTCTCTCCCCCCACGCCACCGCTCCCCCCACCCCCCGTCTCCCCTGCGCCCGCCATGCAGTGCTACGCTCACAGTTTTGCTGACGCCCTTGGGGTTGCGCCCCAGGATGTCCACCAGGAACGCGCGCAGCTCGCCCACCGCCACCTGCGGCACCTGGGGCGCCTGAGGCGTCTCAGGCGTGCCCCCCAGCAGGGCGGCTGCGGCACGGTTGTGTGCGTCCGGTGCGTGGGGGGGCGCGCGCGGGGGCGTGGCGTGGGCGGACCGCGGCTCCAGCGCCCTCCCCACGGACAGGTCCGGGGAGATGGTGGGGGGGGTGGCGCGATTGAAGGGCGACAGGCGCTGCTGCTGCTTGGGCAGAGGGGGGATGGGCGGGGCTGAAGATCGCTTGAAGAGCCCTGCACAGGGGTGATGGGCGCAAGCAAGGGGTTGATGGAGAGGAGAGGAAAGAGAAGGAGGAGGTTGAAGAGGCACACAGAAGAATGGAGAGTGAATGGGGCACACAGGCGCACAAGCAGCACGTGAACGTGCACATGGGATGCCACCAAGAATGCACCATTCAGTGTGCACGTGCATTCAGTGTGCACGTGCATTGACCCCACTGCCTGCCTGCACGCACCTGGCTTCTTCTGAACGCTCAAGCTCGCAGCGCCCCTCCCGGCACCCCTGTGCACTGCATGAGGGGGCAGGGACGCACAAGCAGAGGCCGGCACATGGTAGAACAGGGAATGCTGTAGCTTCAAGTAGATGTCAGATTGTTCTTGCCATTTGCATGTTTGTACCTATGGCCGATATGATACAAAGGACCGTTTGAGAGAGGTAGGTAAAGATTGTGGAAGAATGCGGGCCGGAAATTGATGTTGGCCAGACAGATGGATGGCACGACGAGACGAGGATTGGGCGGCAGAAGCATCATACCATCGGCGGTGGGGGCGGCTGCTTTGTTGCCCTTGAGATCCACCAGCTTCAGCCTGCCGTGCCCCGTGCCATGCACCGCCCATGTCATGCACCATGCACACACCATGCACACGCCATGCACACGCCATGCACACGCCATGCACACGCCATGCACACGCCATGCATACGCCATGCACACGCCATGCACATATGCCATGCACACGCCATGCACACGCCATGCACACGACATGCACACGCCATGCATACGCCATGCACACGCCATGCACATATGCCATGCACACACCATGCACACGCCATGCACACGACATGCACGCGCCATGCATACGCCATGCACACGCCATGCACATATGCCATGCACACGCCATGCACACGCCATGCACACGACATGCACACGCCATGCATACGCCATGCACACGCCATGCACATATGCCATGCACACGCCATGCACACGCCATGCACACGACATGCACACGCCATGCACACGCCATGCACACGCCATGCACACGACATGCACACGCCATGCACACGCCATGCACACGCCATGCACACGCCATGCACACGCCATGCACACGACATGCACACGCCATGCACACGCCATGCACACGCCATGGAACATGCCGCAGCCCAGCCATCCAGCCGCACACAAGCCCAGGAAGAGGGGAATGGGGAAGTGCATGAGATTCTTTCATGTCATGTCATGCCGGCACAGCACACTGTGAAGGTGAACCATGCATGCCATCACATCACATCACATGCACGTGCGCACTGCCATGCCTTGCCTCCCATGTCTTCCATGCCACCCACGGGCAGCATGTGCCGCATGTCTCATGAGGGATGCACCATCTTCACGAGGAGGAGCAGCTCCACACTCACCACGCCCGCCATCACGAGCAGCTCCACACTCACCACGCCCGCCATCACGAGCAGCTCCACACTCACCACGCCCGCCATCACGCCATTGCACATGCCACCTCACGCCTTCATCCCTTCTCCCATTCCCATCCCGTCCACTCCCCGCCCTTCCCCCTCCCCTCCTCTCCCCTCCTCTCCCCCCCTCTCCCCCTGTGCACACTTGTTACTGGCGACTTTAGGAGTGCTCTTGGTGAGGTCGCGCCACTTCTCCTTCTCCCGCTCGTCCAGTGGTCGCTGCACGCTCAGCTTCCGCGCCACCTGCGCCACGTGCTCCAGCGCCCGCCGCTCGCCGCCCTCCGCACCGCCACCCGCGGCCTCGGCGGGCGGCAGGAGGCGGTAGACGTCGCAGAGCGCGGGGTCGGGCTCGCTGTGGGACGTGACCTTGAACTCCACTCCGCCCACCCTGATGGCCTGCCCGGAGGGGGGAGGGGGAGAAGTGGGGGAAGGGTGAGAGAGGGATGCAAGGGGAGCGGCGGCTCACAGAGGGCGTTGACAGCATGGGAGAGTGGAAGACGCTGCAAGGACTTGGAGGGACCTTCCACTTGCCTCCACTCCCCACCACCCTTTCCCTCACACTCAACCCCCTCTCAACCCCCCACCCCTCTCCTTTACTCTCGCTGTCCTCCCCGTCACCCTCCCTTCACCTCGCACTCCCCCTCAGCGCGCCCTTCCTCACGCACGTGCCCACTGCCGTTCCGTCCGAACTTCATCATCGCCTCGACGCCATCGTCGCCGGACGTCAGCAGCTCCGTCAGTTTGTCAGTCAGTTTGATCCACATCCCAAACGCCTCCGCTCCGCCGCCCTCGTCGTGCAGAAGCGCAAATTCCTCTTCCCGTGCGCCCCCTGCCGCGGCCGCGCTGACCTCCACCGCTGGGGAGGCGCGCCGCGACGCCGGGCGAATGGAGCTCTTGCCCTCGCGGAGCATCGGCGGCGCGGGCTTGCTCAGCACACCCGGGGGCGGCGGCGGCATCGCGTCCCTATCGCGCCCGTACCCGCGCCCTCGTCCGCCCCCGCCCCCCCCTCCGCGCCCCGGGCGCTTGAGCTTGCCCATGGCGCAGCGCGGGGAGTGCAAGGCGGCGAGCAGGCAGGTGAACCGCGCCGATGGCGACGAGGCGGGCGAGAGGGAGTGGCGCTACCGCCGCTGCTGCCAGTCGCGCGAAACGAGGGATGGCCCTTGAAGCTTGCGGAAGAAGGCGCGAGTTGAGTTGAGTTGAGTTGAGTCGAAGGCACTGTGGAGGCGCAATCGGGATGGGTGGCGTGGAGAAAGGTAGGGCGTCGGGACTAGCAAGCTTCTAAATTGGTTTTACGTGTGTACATTTATAATTGTATGAACTTTCATTCTTTACAAATCACCTTGTCATTGGTTGAAAACAGACTAGGCAAGAAGAACCCATATTTCTTGTTATTGGCTACCCCATTCAAATTTGGCAGGTGTATGGGCAATAACGGGGATTTGCTATTGCATTAGAGCATCGGCATAATTCGTGGTGGGCTGGCAAGAAGATCCCCACAAGGCAGCTAAGCATCGAAGCCAGAGTAGACGCCCTGGTCCCTGAGCTGCCTCTTCTCCTCCTCCACGTAGTTCTTCCCTCTGCTCGCCTGCCCCGCATCGCGCTTCCTCTTCTCGCGCTGGCTGAAGCTCATTGCAGCAGCCCCCCCTCGCCCTCGCTCGCTCCCTGCTTGGCGGCGCTGCCAGTGGCGCTCTCTGTGCTCCGCTGCCAGGTCCGCCCTCAGCTGCCTCGCCGCTGCCCCGTGCGCCAACGCCCTCGCTGCTGCCGCCTGCCACCACCACGAACGTGCACACGGGTAACAGGCACACGGGCGGGGCATGGGGAGGGGCACGTGGTGGGGGCAGGGGCAGGGCGTAGAGGTGCATGTGGTGGGAGGGAGGAGGGCGAGGGAAGGGCACGCTGGGGCGGGCAATGGGGAGAACAAGTCATCGCGGGCATGTGACACTCACAACCAGAACAACGAAAGCTTCTTATCACCATGGAGAACGGCGGTGAGGGGTGTGACGCGGTGCCAACATCCCCCTGGCATCCCAGCATCCCTGCGTACCTCAGCGCCAGCATCACTCGCCAGCTCCTGCAGCTGCTGGCTCTCCTCCCGCGCCCTCCTCCGCTTCTCCCTCTCCTCCTCCCCTTCCCCCTCCGCCTCACTCCCCCGCCCCTGCCCCTGCGCGTGCCCCTCGCGCCCATGCCCGCGCCCCCACTTGCCCCACTCCACGGCGGCGCTGGGCTGCTCGTCGGGCAGCAGCAGCACGGACGGGCCGCCCACCAGCCCGTGCCGCACCAGCGCCGCGTAGTCCACCTCTGCACGCACGCACGCACGCGGTACAGGCAGGGCGGCGAGGCAGGGGAGGAGCGGGGTAGCAGGGGGGAGCAGAGCAGAGTAAGAGTTGAGGAGCATTGTACGGACGAGCGCGAAGCTACATCACCCCACCGCTCCTTCCCACCCCATCATCCTACCTCCGCCCTTGCGCTGTCCCGTTTCCTCCCCCCCTCCGCTCGTAGCCTTCTCCTCCCCTCCTTCCTCCTCCTCCGCCGCCTCCTCCTTCTCATCATCATCCTCCTCCTCCTCGTCGCCTTCCTCATCACCCTCTTCGTCCTCCTCGCTCTCGCTGTCCTCCAACCCCGCTAGAGGGTCCATCGCTTTAAGCAACTTCGACATTCGCGGGGTCGTGCACGCCCCTAACTTCTCTTCGCGCCGTCTACAACGCGCTCCACTCCCTCGTCTCGCGCTCAGTTTCAATATGAGCTTCACTACCACCCGTCAGGTGCCTCCAAGTGATACCGAGTGACGGCGCGAACTCATATGCGCAGTTGGCGGACGGCGCGAATTTTAGAAGTCTCCAGAGGAGTAGGGGTGTGGGCTGATTTGGTGGACGAATGGGGTCAACATGGTGAGGCGCGTTATTGTTCTGGAAAAGGAAAATCATAGTAAGCGTTAACACAAAACAGTATGAAAATTAGGCAAGTTATACACTTGTCAATAAACCGACGAATATACAGAGAAAGAACTGAGGATCGTATGAGTTCCCGCAGCCTTGTGTGTTTGTCAATTGGGAGGCAATCCTGGGTTGGCTAAGTGCACCTGAGAGAAAGCTTGTCGTTGCAAAAAAATAATGTGGTGTGGCAGTAACTAACAGCACTACATGAGGTGCACTCAAGCAGGGCTGCTGGGCACTGAGCAGAGGTGGTGTTGGGCAGAGGAAGACTCAACTCACAATGATTCATTCCATCAATGGAGCATCACAGCATCTAGTTGCGCCTCCCTTTCTTATCAGTAGGAAGCTCAACAAAAGAATAGTTGGTCTCAGCTACTTATCCTAGTCCTAAGATCTATTGGTCCGGCAACACGCTAGTCACTGTAGCAGCAGCTGGGCTAGGCGCCCTTGGTGCTGCACGCACAGCCGTGGGGCGGGGATGGTGGTGCATGGGTTGACTGAAGCTGTGGGTGGGATGGGACGTGGTAGTTTGGCAGGCCCATGGGCCATAGATTGGGGTTTTTTTGGGTGGGCGAGGTGGTGGAAGGGATGGTGCTGCGCGTGGCTGCTTGCCCCTCAGGCAGTGCCATCCGTGCAGCGCCCCCTGTGTTGCAGGGTAGAGGTAGAGGTAGAGGAGGAGGAGGAGGAGGAGGAGGAGGAGGAGGAGGAGGAGGAGGAGGAGGAGGAGGAGGAGGAGGAGGAGGAGGAGGAGGAGGAGGAGGAGGAGGAGGAGGAGGAGGACGAGGACGAGGACGAGGACGAGGAGGAGGAGGAGGAGAAGGAGGAGGAGGAGGAGGAGGAGGAGGAGGAGGAGGAGGAGGAGGAGGAGGAGGAGGAGGAGGAGGAGGAGGAGGAGGACGAGGACGAGGACGAGGACGAGGAGGGGAGGGGCGGCTAGTGGAGGTCGATGTTGCACTGCTGCACCATGTCATCCTCCGCCAGCACGTACCGGCTCCACAGCCCCTTGAACTCCTTGATCGCCGTGTCCAGCCATGGCTTCTGTGAGCCCACAGCGCCACAAACGGAGACCGGGGAAAGGAAGGGGGGGGAAGAGAAAATATTGAGAGATATGATGAGGAAGCGTGAGGGAAACCGGAGGAGGCGAGGGGGAAGCATGAGGCGAGGAAGGGGACTGGAATGCAGTGGGGATGGCGGCATTGGTGGCAGCACAGATGGGCATGGAGGCCGGGGCACAGGTGTGGCGAGGCAGGGGGAGGGGACGTACCGCGTTGCCATTGTAATGCAGCACGGCGGCCTGTTGGATGAGGTGGGTGGGCGTGGCCTTGTCGTAGCCCAGCCCCAGCACGTGCCAGTGCGCGTCCAGCGGGGCTGTGAGGTTGTAGAACGTCATCAGCCCGGGCGGCAGCGTGCCCAGCTGCCACAGCTGCCTCTCCGCGTTCTGAGGAACACCCAGCATGGGCGCAGGGGAGAGTGGGACACGGGGGAGGGGAAAAGCGGGGTGAGGGAGGGCTTCTGTGAGACCATGTAGGCAGGGCGGAACACGCACACAGGGGGGCACACAGAGAGGCAGGTAGAGGCAGGTAGAGGAGCGGGCAGAGAGGCAGGCAGGCAGAGAGGCAGGCAGGGAGAGAGGGGCGCACCATGGACTGGTACTTGTGGTAGACGTCTGTGAGCCCCTTGCGGCGCCACTGAGCGAGGTCAAACACGTTCATGCCGTACGCCCACCCACACCCCTCGGGGTCAAAGTGGTCGCGAATGAAGGGGTGCGAGAAGTTGAGGTACTTGTGCAGGCGGTGGAAGGCGTCGCCCTCCCTGCACGTGAACACGGCGCCGTTGACGGCCCCGTGCAGCGGCAAGGAGAAGAGCGGGGAGAGGTCGCGCTGCACCACCACGTCGTCATCCAGAAACACCACTCGGTCCAGCGCTGGGAACATCTGAGATTGGGGGGGTGGCGTTGAGGTGAGGGGAGGAGAGGAGGGAGAGGAGATTAGGAACATGGCAGGGGTGAGGGGCCTGGATGGTGATGCGATTGGGAGGTTGGTTGTGCGCGGCTTTGTGGGGAGGGTGGAAGAGCGATTGGGCAGGTGGGTGGTGCGATGGGGCATGTGCGACGGGCTGTGCTGCTGTGCAGGTGGCGTGGCACAGCAGGTGGCGTGGCACAGCAGGTGGTGCACACGGCACCCAGGCACGGGGTGGGTGGGGCGGGAGGGCGTACCTCGGGGAGGTAGAAGCGGAGGTGGTTGAGGATGGAGAGGTACTTGGGGTTCTTGAACTTTAGCTTCTGCCCCGCCACTGCCGCCGCCGCTGCCGCCCCCGCTGCCTCTGCCTCTGTTGCTGCGGACCCCTGTGGCCGCGGCACCCCGCTGCTCGTCTGGTTCGCTGCTGGGGACGGGCAGGGGGAGAGCAGGGGAAGGAAGAAGCGAGGAGAAGGAGGAGGTGAGGCATGGGGGAGGGCGGTGAGACAGTAGCCAAGGGAGTGCTTTCTGAGAGGCAGGCAGGCGAGCAAGCGAGGGCAGGCGAGCAAGTGAGGGCGGGCGGGGCTTACAGTCGTCGTGCTGGGAGAAGTAGAACTTTTTGAGCGCCTTGGCCTGCAGCTGGCGCAACACGGGGCAGTAGGAGGCGTTGAGGAACGCCAGCGACTCCACGGACGTGATCTCCACCGCCACGTGCACGGGCGGGTGCAGCGCGAACCACGCCTGCATGGCCGGCAGGTTCATGCTGTCCGTCACCACGTGCACCACGTGCCTGCTCGCGCGCACGGGGGGAGGGGGAAGGAGGGACGGAGGGGGACGCACACGGGGAAGGAGAGAGAGGGGGGGAGGAGACGGGGGATGGGGAAGAGGTGTTGGAGAGAGGCAGGTGGACGGCACAAGGAACCCTGACTCTCCACACCTCTCCTCCTCCACACCCTCCAAAACGAGTCTTTTCAACTCTCCGCCTGCCACCTGTCAACTGCGCGTACCGGTCGGGGTTCTTGGAGTTGGCTTCGAGCGAGCGCAGCACGGTGGCGACGGCGAGCACGTTGTCGGAGAAGAGCGCGTAGTGCATCAGCGCGGGGTCCGTCAGCAGCGCGCGCTGCTTGCGCTCCCGCCGCCGCGACGCCGCGCGCAGGTCCTTGTTGCTGCCGTACTCCTGCCGCCCGCCACCGGGGAGGGCAGTTCCAGAGGGGGGAAGAAGAGAAGGGATGAGGGCGAGTGAGCTGGTTGATAGAGGGTACAAAACGTTATGCGACGCATTGCGACGCAGCAAGCGGCGAGCGAGAGAGCGACTTCCTAAACCCATGAGCGCAAGCCGGTGAGCGCAAGCAGTGGGCTTACGACGGTGAGGCGGAGGTTGAAGCAGTGAAGCGACTTGGGCAGCGCCTTGGCCGCCGCCAGGTCGAGCTGGTTGCGCTCCGCCGTCAGCGCCGCCACCTTGGCCTTGCCGCGCTCCACCTCGCCGCGCAACTTCTCGATCGTCGCGGCGTTGCCGCGCCACTCCTTGGCACGCGCCGCCACCGCCTCCAGCAGCTTCACCAGCCCCGTCACCTTGTCGTCGCCGCCCCACGCGCCGCTCTCCTCCCACCGCGCCGTCACCGCGCCGCTCTTCTCCACCGCCGCGCGAATGTGCTTCACCAGCTGCGCGTTCCCCCGCTCCTCCGCCAGCGGGCGGATGCCCTCCAGCACCGCCGTCAGGTTGCGCAAGCGCTCCACCAGATCCGCGCGCGCGGGGGAGGACGAGGGGGAGGAGGGCGAGGATGGGGCGGAAGGGGAGGCGGAAGAGCTGGTGCCGGGCGGGAGCGTGACATCCACCCTGCCCGCCGACCCGCCCGCCGACCCATCCCGCTGCTCAGACGCGCTCGACTCGCCAGCCCCCGCAGCACCGCTGCTGCTGGCTCCGCTTTCCGCTTCCCCCACCGCTTCCGCCAACACCGCCTTCACCCCCTCTGCCCCTTGTTCTCCGCCCATTTCCCCCTCACTCCGCCCCGCCCCGCCCTCTGCCCCCTCCCCTTCCCCCTTCATCGCCTCCACTGCTTCTAGAAAACTGTTTCCGCCGCCCTCACTCTCCCCGTTGCCGCTCGCCGACCCTTGCTCTTCCCTCGCCGCCATTGCCGCCGACTCTTCCAGCTCCGACTGAAAGGCAGCGATCGCCGCGTCCGTGCCGGCCGCCGGCAACTCCATGATTTCGCGATTCTCGTAGCGAATCTCGATGGGCTCGCCCACGCCCACCCCCACTACTGACGCGTCGGCCGCGCCGCTTCCTGTACACAGGAGGAGGGCAGCCGGGCAGGATTGAAAACGAGAGAAAAGCAAAGCGAGGGGCGGAAGGAGAGAAGCGAGAGGTGCACGGTGAACAGACGGGTTCAGAAGCGTTTCGGAGGAGGAAGGCGGCGAGATGGCCAAAGGCGCGGGGCGGGACGGGTGGCGGATATAGCGAGAGGGCCAGCGAGCAGAGGGATGAAGACGGTAGGCGATGACGCGATGCGCAGGAACGGGCGACACGGGATGGACGAGCACCCGAGCATGATCACATGGGAGATGGGTGGCAGAAGGCCGGGGAAAGCGCGGGGATGGGCGACGTGCCTTGTCCTGTGTGGGTGCGCAGGGCTCGTCGACTGTGCGGCGAGGCCCAGATGAACGCCGCGAAGACGAGCGCGAGACACGCCGCCGGCAGTATTAGGCGCGCCACGCCCGTGTCGCGACTGGACGACTGCTTGCCGCGACGACTGTGCGGAGGGGATTGGGCGGGAGAATAGCCAGGGAAGTGTGGCGGCGGGGAAGGGAAGCCATGAGGTGAGCAAGTGAAGGGTGCGGTTGGGGTGGGGCGCGTTGATAAACGGTACTGCGACGAGGCGAGTGAGTGCAGCGCGGGGAAGAGGAGGATTGCACTGGTGAGGGACAGCGACGGCTGGGAAAGAGGAGGCATGCACTTGTGAGGGACAGCGACGGCTGGGAAAGAGGAGGCATGCACTTGTGAGGGAGGATGTGGTGGTCGTGCGGAGCGAAGGCACCAACCGGCATGCGCGCAGCGCAGGAGCCTATTGCTTGCTGGTTCTGCATCCACGTGCGAGCACGCGACACATGGGGTATTTCAAGAGTTCTTCAAAGCATCCTAAAATGGTCCAAGGGCGCAGACTGGCTAGCGATTCAACCGATTATACAGTGCGCGCAACAACCCGTCCTAAGCGATCGCACGATAGAAGCCGTGGGCGGCTTGCGTTAACGTACCTGAATGGAATGGCTAAGTCGGGTGACTTGCCTACGGCTTGGAAGCCGAACGCCATGGCCGCTGATCGGCTCCTATGCTCTCTGATTTAAAATAGAGAATCACTTCTAGCTAGGCTAGGTTTCGCGACGGAGTGGTTCTTGATGAGGCCTGAGAGAAGGAAGAGGTGATGGTTGTCAACACTACTGTCGGCCGCCAACAATGTCTACGAGCCCCACAAACTCAAGATGTTGCTTGGAGTCACTTTCATGCAGCCGCTATGTCGGTTCAAAACAACCTTTGTGCCACTCGAGCATGATGCGCGGAGGGAAGGAGGAGAGAAGCATCTGAGAGCACAACCCGAGATCATCTATGGCCATGTTCGGTCATGCCAACCCTGGGACTGAAAGTCATGGCAGCAGCGGGAAAGGTGAAATGTGGTGGTGGGGAGCGGCAGATGTCCATCCCTCCAGCCCAGTCGAGCTTGCCGTCGTGCCGCAGAAGAATTCGCGCTCGGACGACGCGGGGGACAAGGCATCGTGTGGTGGGCGTCAGGAGCATTCGCCAAGATTGTGCAAGCTGGGAGGGCTAGGACTGATGATGTTGCTGGTGACTGCGCTAGCATCGCTGCATCGTGGATGGTTCCCCCATCATCGACTGGTGGGTTGCCCTTCGTTGGCCTTGGAGCTGGGGCGTTGAAAACTTATGGACACATGCTCATTCAAACCATCCAGCGCGAGCAATTTCAAGTACTGACAAATCAAAGAAAGGATTGAGAAACCACTAAGCGGAAAATACAATAAGGTTCAGTCACAATGCTCTAAGCGCCATTTCCATGTCACATGCCCGAGAATATATCAGTATCGCTGACCGTTGCTGCAAATTTGCGCCTTGTCAGAGGACAGGGAAGCGCAGCGCGCACCAGGTGAAGCCCGCGCACCAGAGCAAAAATGTCATACGACATCGCTGTAATGAGCTGCTCGTTTTATAACGACGACATGTGGCAAAGGAAAGCATGCATGCTAACGTAAAGTAGTAGACCCATGGATTATATATGGAAGATACTAGAGAGCAGATTATATATATATAAAATAGTTGCAGATGATAGTTAGAAAATACGTTATTGCACAATATTCACCAGTATGCCAGAACCTTACGTCTTCCAAGCACATCTGACTACGGTATTATGCCTTACAACCCCTTCTGGATTACAATTGTATTTCATGTAACGTCCTTTTGTTTTGGAGAAATATATTGCACTCTACTTATCATCCAACTCCTTTTGTTACAAACAGCTACAAATAAAAACGGATGTTGCGATTACATCTTGGCCTGTCCCGGACGCTTCGCAACACCGTTGGATGAGATCGGTTATCGAACGGTGGATTGCTGGCGTCCGTTTTCTCGAAAACCCCCCAACTTTCATCCACTGCACAAATTGCACAGGCCCTCCGCATTCTTTGTTTTGCCTACCTCCTCGCTGCTCGCTGCTCAAAGCGATACTCAGCTTCTTGTCAAGCCGTTGAAGCACTGGGATTACCGCTCGTATTGTTGACCCAACAGACGTCAGATTACCAGCATGGTGTGTGCTCTCGTCAGTTCGTCTCGAAAAAGGCTGGTTGCTTTTTATGGGCTCAACGGTGGAACCAACACCATTTTCGTATCTATTCTTCCTGTCTGCTTGTCGGGTGTCTGGCTCCCCCAATAAGCGGTCCAACAAACATAGCAAATGGTTAAATGAAACGTTCTCCGGCTGCTCCCCTCATGTTTTTTTATTTTCTCCATTCCAGTCTGGAAAGGGGGCCAAAGGACTTATGGGCAAGGGCCCAGAGGGCCTGGACAAGCTAAGAGACAAAAAGAAGCCAATTTCACGTTCTTCTAAAGCGGGCTTGCAGGTCAGTTTCCAGCTAAGCCTAACCTCGACAATATAAACTGTAGTATGATCGCTATGCGTAGAGTTCTGCAGGTGGTGCAAGCGAAATCTCACCTGACTGTTGATTTGAGCAGTTCCCCGTGGGACGCATCCATCGCCTGCTCAAGTTGAGAGTGGCCGCTAACGGCCGAGTCGGTGCCACTGCAGCAGTGTACGGCGCTGCAATCCTCGAGTATCTCACAGCGGAAGTTCTAGAGCTAGCGGGGAACGCGTCGAAGGACTTAAAGGTGACCGTCAAATTTCGCATGCTATTTCGCTACAGCGTCGTTGCGTTGCCGCCTCGTTCATTGCCTTGACTTTTGCCTCTTGCTTCGTGTGGTGCACAACAGGTGAAGCGTATTACACCGCGTCATCTTCAGCTGGCGATCAGAGGCGACGAGGAGTTGGATACATTGATCAAGGTGAAACAAATGCTTACTAGTTTTGCCCCTCTAGAAGCAATAGTTTCTGGAATATTGATTTTTTTTGCGGCTTTGCTCTGATCTGATGCTAACCGTGGCGGACCGTTTGATGCCTTGGTGTTCATTCTTCTTGCAGGGTACGATCGCTGGTGGTGGTGTCATCCCACATATTCACAAGTCGCTGATCAACAAGCAAGGAGGAAAGAAAGACTGAAGGTTTTTTTCTTCCTTGCCACACCACCTTCTTTTGTACACGCATGAAAATAGTGCTTGGTGAGCACACCCTAGCTAAATAGCGTACAGTAGTTACCCACACTAACCTGTTTTTGTTGTAGGTAGTATTATATTCCTATTCATAACCATTGAATTCTGCTGTCTGGGCAGAGTACCACTGACTTTCGCTGGCAAACAATCTGTTAGCTCAGCTCATACGTGGACTCATGGTTGTGGCCCAGAGCAGGGAGGGCTCCTGTTTTGGCTCAGTCCTGGATTTTGTGAGGTGGAACATGATCCAGACGATTTCTGAGCTGGTAAAACGCATAAGAGTATACTAGTTTACCAGCCACAAGAGAGGCATATTCCCAAGGCATGCTACATGAGAGGCAGCGCGCGCGGTCTGACCACAATGTCAGCAGCACTGAGCCCTTCTCGCTCCAGCAGCTGCTCCATCACTCTCCTCCGCCTCCTCTGGTTCTCCCGGTTGTAGCGCCGCCCATAGTGGTCCCCTGCCCACCGCCGCGCTACAGCCTGCCAGATCATGTCCTCCGCCCCTCCGGGCTTGGACGGCGTGGAGTAGACAAAGTGGTGTGCCACCTGCAAGGGTGTACGATGGGGGGGGGGGGAGAGACATGGCGGCAGAATTTTGGAAGGCTGAAAGCTCAGGCTGAAGGCTGAAGGCTGAAGGCAGATGATGCGCTGGAAGGGAGATGGTTTACAGTAGAGCTCAAAGACAGCCCCACCCTGTCCCCACACACCTCTCTGAGCCGCTGCCACATGGCGAATGCTGATTCGTGCGACACGTTTCGCAGGAAGGCGTCGACGTATCCGGGGCGGAGGGCGAGGGCCTGCGGGAGGAAGAGGGCGAAGGCGGTGTAGTCGAGGGCCTCCTCGAATGGCAGGTCCAGCGAGTCGGACACCACCAGCGGGATGCAGTGCGATAGCATGGCGTCAAACAGCCGGCATGATGATGCCGTGTCGCCTGGTATTGGGAGGCGAGGGCGGAGAGAGAGAGGGAGGGTGAGCACGAGGGAGGTGAAAGGGGAGTGCGCACGAGGTGGGGGAAAAGGGAAGCACGGCCAGCCACGAATAAGATTGCAGGTTTGCATGGTGTGTGGAAGGAAGATCATTGTAGTGTAGCGACGTAAGCAGGAGGAGGAGGGCGAGCAGTGGCAGACGAAGGTGAGGGCGAGCAGTGGCGTGGCGACCTTCAGGCACGAGGCAGAACTTGGAGGCGCGCATGCCTGCTGTGGCCGCCTGCACCCCGCCCTGCAGTGGCGACCCCTCCGCTATGTCCGCCCCACTCACGTTCGCCAGCAGCCGCGCCAGCTGCACCCGCATGGCCCCTCCCTGGTGCAGTGCAGGGGTGGGGGAGGGGGCACAGGGGCGAGGGAGAGGAGGGGCAACGCAGTTGGAGGCAGGCGGGGTGGATGAGTGGCTCAAGGGAGGGAGTAGGCGGCACTGGTTCGGGCTGGCCGGTCGTGCTGGCATTGCATCCCCCTCTAAAGCCTGCATGCGCACCTGTTGCCGGTTTAGCGTGCCTCTGAAGAATATCAGAGTGGGCCGTGCAGCCGCCCACGCCGCCACAGCCTGCGCCCCTCCCGCACTGCCCTGCCCGCCCTCTGTCTCCCCCGGCAGCGAGTCATTGAGGAAGGGCGGGATGAGCGCGGAGTAGGGCACCAGCACGTCCTTGTCCAGATGCGCCACCTGCTCTGCTGGCTGGCTGAAGTCCACCATCAGCATGTGCGCTGCTGCCACCTCGTGCCGCACCGTGGACAGTGCGTGGGGGTGCACTGCTGGGATGAGGAAGTCCTGCCGCCGAGACACAAGGCCTCCCTTGCCTCCCTCACTCTGCAACCTCTCTGCTGTATCGGCCCTCGCAGCCGCTCCACCCCCACCATCGGGTCCCTGCCGACCCTCCCCCTGTGCGTTCTTCGCCTGCTCGCCCGCCTCCGCTTCCTTCCCCTTCCGTCCCCCTTTCAGCACCCGCAGCAGTCGTCGTCTGCTGCTGCCGCCCGCCTCCCCGGCACCATCACCACCAGGTGAGCCCTCCCCAGTCGCCACCTCCACCTTCTCCAGCAGCTCGCCCCCCCCCTGGCTGGCCCCTTCCCCCTGCTGGCCCCCGTCCCCCCACAGCGCGTGCTGCGTCACCGCTGCCAGCACGTGCTGCTCCTCCGGTATCCTCGTGTCGCCCGCCCGCCGCCGCCTCTCATTGCTGCCTTGGGGGTTGTAAAAGAGTGGGGGAGAGCAGGTAGGAGGAGGGAGGTGGGAGGGGGGCCGAAGACACGGGCAAGGTGGGCACACAGTAAGTAAGCCAGGGCGCAGCCACCACGTGGACCTTGTGCCACGTGGCAGGTGCATATTTACCGACCATGAGAGCAGCCCTGACTCACGTCTTCATCTGAGTGGCATAGAAGGCGGAGGAGAAGGCGGGCACAAACACGATGTGGGCGTCTTCAGCCCGCCGCACGCGCTGAACGGAGGGCAGTCCGCCGGCGAGCAGGGAGAGAGTGAGCCAGTACTCCGCCGCGTACTGCTCTATGTGCATCCCACACCCCTCCACAAACTGCGGCACCTGCACCGACCCCTCTCCACCTCCGCTTCCTCCCCCTGCCTCCCCCTCGCCCTCCACCCACCCATCGTCCTGCACCACCCCCCCCAGCACGTCCCCGTCCGCCCGCGGCCGCAGCGAGTTGCCTTTGAACTGCCAGTCCGCTGGCATGCCGTGCTGCACCGCCACCTGCACCCGGTTTGCAAAGCGCCACCGTTGCTGGTGGGGGGGCGCGGGGGAAAGGGGGGAGATGGAAGGCAGAGGGGGAAAGGTGGGGGAAGGGAGGGTGCAGAGGGGAGAGCAGAGGAGGTCGGGATGGCGGGCGCTCACAGAGGCACATGGCATGGCCGCATGGGGTGGCAGACATGGAGGGCTGTGGCGAGGAGAGATGGAAAGCAGTGTACAATGCGATGCTGTGCGGTACCGTGTGGTCATACCAGCAGCACGTGAAAGTTGAGCTCGCCTGTCAGTGGCAGCATGTACACCCGCAGAGGCATCGGCACCTCTCCCCCTTCTCCTCCCTCCCCACCCTCCCTTGCTTCCGCTTCTGCCACGCCTCCATCTGTTCCTCTTTCCGCCCCATCTTCCCTCTCTTCCGCCTCCCCTGCTCCCCCCACCAACGTCTCATCTCCCTTGGAAGCAGCTTCGCTACTCGCTACAGAATCAGCAGCGTCCGCCATGGCCATTGCCTTCCCCGGGATCGCGTCCGTCTGCTCCCCCCCCATGCGCACTGCGCTCCCCGCGATCCCCCCATTGCCCCCAAAATACAACGAATCCCGCCGCTCGCGCTGCGGACCCCTGCCCCTACCTCGCACACGACCCCCGGTTCCTGCCTCTGCGACGGCGACAGCGTCGCCAGAAGTCGCACGGATGGCGCCGTGCGACGCGGCCCAGGGCACGAGGAGGAAGAGGAGCAGCGCGAGGAGGCTGACGAAGACCATCAGCGCGTACACGCGCGCCACGTGGCACTTGCAGCACAATCCGTTTTTGCCCGCCGGGACGAACGGGGACGGCGGCCTCGCCGTGACTCGCGGCGTCGCCATAATCGAGGCTCGAAGCGGTAGGTGTGAGTGGTGTGCAGATGTGAGCCGGGGGCGTCAACTCAAGCTACACTAAATCCCCGTTATCATCCGCCGTGGTCATTCTACTGCAAATACACGAAGAATTCTACGTAGCTTCGCCCGCTACTCTGAATCCGGCAGCATGAATCTACCCGCGAGTGGCGCTTGCGGAATGCAGCGATGACGAAGCGGCTATTGCAGTCTCGTGTTGTGGCGGGGCGATACTTGAGCTAGGTGAGACAGGCGCAAATAGCAAATCCTTTGTTTCCAATTTCTACTTTGGATGGGGCGGGGAAAGTTGTTGGAGACCTCGTTATGAAGGTTCACACTTCGTTATTATTATGATACATTCATGTACAGTCTTTGATGTACATAGACATACGTTACGGAACAACCGATAAGATACTCGTCAACATTGGCGGATTTATTTATTCGGGTAGCTGCTGCTTTGCTGAACCGACATCGTCCATCAATAACGCGAGTCGCGACTCATTCGACCAACCAAGCAGCCCTCACGCGTGCTTCCTCGGGCTACTCAACGCATTCAGAATGTTTTGCCGCCATCCTCTTTCACCAGACCGCCATTTTGCGCTCGATTGCCCGCCCTCTATTGGCGTGCCGCTCGAAAGAGTCAGCCCTTCCGCGGGCCTTCTTCGCGACGTGCGCCCATCCGCGCGCTTTGCGCCGCTGCTCCGCCTCCCGCCGCTGCTGTCAGCGGAAGCGGCAGGCGAATAGTCGCCGATTCTGCAGCCGTCGGTAGGGCTGCATTCCGACGGGGTGGCGGAGTCACCGCGGAGGGTGGGGGGAGGCGACGTGGAGGGCGCAGTGCGGCAGGGAGCGGAAACGGGCGACGGCGAGGGGAGGCAGTAGGGGAGGAATGGGGGGATGACGAGCAAAGACGGGGTGCGCCTGTGCTGCGACGATGACCACGACGACGGCAATTGCTCCTTCGCTCCTGCGACGGAACGGGCAGAACATTCAGCGCCGTTGTCGCCATGCATCGCCGACGCGCGTCGCGGTAGGGTCGGCGAAACCTTGTGCGACGCGCACGAACAGGGAAGAGAGTTGTGTCGCAGCAGCTGGTAGCGCACCGAATCCTCCCTGCCCGCAACAGCCCCTGCATCCGCCGCGCGCTGTGCCGTGTCGTCGCGAACTCCCATTTCGTCGCGAATCGTGCCGTGCGGGCGCCGTTCAGCTTCCCCAGAGGCTTCCGCCAGCCCCTCCTCCAGCCACCTCGGTTCGTACACGCTCCGCCACACCCCCCGCCTGTCCGCGCGCGACCGCGCACCCCTCGGGCCCATCTCGTTGCCGCGCTCCTTAGACTCTGGGAACGATTTCGCTCGCTTCGCCGGCGTTACAGAAGCTGCCGTCATTGCGACGTTCAGGTCGTCGCAGCTGCCGCGCCGCGGCATCAATTGCCGGCCGAACGACCTCATCTTCTCGCGCCACGGCCAGCTGCGTCTCGCGCTGATCGACCCTGCAGCCCCTGCCATGGGGCTTGAAAGAGCGAACGGCGCGCTGTGCGGCACTTGCTCCAACGGCTCCTCGTCCGCCGCCGCCGCGTTCTCCCACAGCATTCCCCATTCCGCGGCGTCGAGATTCCGAAGCCTTGCGACGACTGCCGCCTTGCACTCGCTAATCCGTATCACCTCCGCGGAGGCCATCTGTAGAGTTGAAAGCTTGATCAGAATGGGAGCTTGGAAAATCAAGAGTGCCGATTTCTGTTTGCCAGAGTTGAAGGAGAAGAGTGCATCTGGTCCCTCAATTTCAATGCACAAATTTCATCCGCGCCAAGAAATTCCTTGACTAGCAACCGACACTACTTGCATGTGCACCTCGCTGACTGCTGTGCTGTGCTGTGTGGAGGTCGTGCTCGGCGCGCTGTGCGCCGTATGCACCCTGGAAGGTGCAATGCGATGCAAGGACAAAGGCGCACCACGCGCGACAAACGACAGGCACTCCCTGTAACTTCCGTCTGCCGAATGTCATTCGCCAGCGCCTCACGTGGGAAAGGCAGTCAGTCAGCAATGTGAGCCGCTTCTCCGTTTGACGGTCGGTGACAGTCGGCAAGTGCACGACAAGCGATGCTGGAGGTGTGGCACCCGCTGACATGTAACCGCAGCTTCGTCTGGAAGCTTGTCTGCCGCACTGTATGGTTTGTGTGCGTGCGGTACCTAGGCTAACGAGTTACCTTTTAATGAGAATGTCCCAGTTTGGAGAAACCCATATTACCTGATTAGTCATACACCTGACTATTGTATATCATACATCACAACCTAGTATCCTCATTTCTACAGCATTGAGAAATGCTAAATTTATATAGCAGCAACTTTTACAGCATGGCTCCCAAGTACACCTGCACAATGTCATCACTGGCCTCCTGCTCCACCCTAACCTGCGCGGAGGGTGATCGCAGCAGTTCCACCTGTTGCTTGCGCATGGAGAAGATAGCCCAGCCATAGCACACCACGCCTACGAGCTCCAGCAGGCAGCCGAGCAGGCTGATGGGGGCCATGGGCGTGCGGAAGAGCAGCCAGGAGAAGACGAGTGTGATCACCAGCTTTAGATTGCCTGCCACGTTGAACGTCAGCGCACTGCCATGGGGGCACGGGAACAGGTGCGAACAGTGGGGGAAAGGAGGGGATTGGCAAAAAGGTATGGGTTTGTGTGCGCTGTGGGGGCGGGGGATTGTTGGGGGGATGACAGACAAGGAGCGACTTGAGTGGCTCACACAAGGGAAGCACGAGTGGGTGGTGCGTTGCAGAGAGCATGGAGCATTCGACTGCCTAAGGTGCAGAGGCTTGAGGGTGGTAGTGGCATGTGAAGCTGGGGGCTGTTTACCTGGTCTTTTGGATCGTGTAAAATAGCGAGAAGTTGAGGCAGAACGCGAAGCAGCCACTAATGAGGATGGCGATGACAGCGGGCCAGGGGTTGGCCTGGGCCACGAACCACCCCCACAGCTGCCACCCCTCCAGCACTGCTGCTGGTGGCGCAAGAATGAGCGCCGAGTAGGGCACCAGCTGGTACAGCTGATGGGGGGGCGAACAAAGGGGGTGAGGGGGGGGGTGGGGGGGGTTGTGGAAAGGTGAAGGAAGGGAGGAGGAGGAAGCAAGATACAGGGTGAGAGTCGAAGGAAGGAGCAGCGGGAGGGAATCCATATCTGCTAGCAAAAAGAAGGCACATGAGAAGATGGCTGGTGCAACTAGGGCAAGGCGGAGTAAGGGTGGGGGCTCACGGCGTTGAGGGAGTCGAGGGTGTACTGCTTGCCCTTGAGCAACACCTGGGCGACTTTTAAGTTGACTAAAGAATAATCGGGAGCGAGGGCGAGGGAGATGGGAGTTGGACAGGGGCTCACGGCGTTGAGGGAGTCGAGGCTGTACTGCTTGCCCTTGAGCAACACCTCGGCACAGATGACGGTGGCACAGCCCAGCACCACACAGCACAGCGCCGAGAGGAACGTGGGCAGCGCGAAGTGCACTGAGGGCGCGTAGGCCAGCATGGCGCCCGCCATCACCGGCAGCAGTGAGAGGCACAGCCGCCAGTCGTACTCCGCCTGTAGCGCCAGCGCCTGGATGGCCACTGGGAGGAAGGTGGGGGAGGGGGGGAGAAGATGAGAGCGAGGTCAGCGGGTGGCGGGCTGGGAGTGGGAAAGGGAGGCGAGAACCGGTGAGGATTGAGAAACTTTGGCATGGAGTGATGCACACACACCTGTGAGGCCGGGCGAGAGGGCCTTGGTGGAGAGGAGGGCGGGCAGCGGCACGTAGCGCAGGGAGAGCTGGCCGAGCACGACGTTGAAGCACGTGACCACCGCCATGGGCAGCACCCACGCCACCATCTCCCCCGCCTCCACCGCCGCCTTCGGACACACCTGCAGGATCTGTGGCGCGTTGGCCGGCGCGGGGGATGGGGTGATGGCAAGGGGGGTGTATGAATGAGTTGAGTAGACTTCTTGCACTAGCATGGCCTGCGACTTCACTGCTGCCATGAGGCACAGCTGCAGGATCTGTGGGCATGGCGCACGCAGGATGGACAGGATGGGAGGAGCGGGGCGTGCGAATTGGAGCTCGAGGTGAGAGGTGGTGAGAGGCGAGTGATGGGTATATGTTTGGGGTCTAAGAGGAGTGGCGTAGGTCACATGGAAAGGCTGAGTGAGAGGAGGGGGCGCAGAAGGCACGCACTGACCTCGATAGCTGTGAAGGCACCAACGAATGAAAGCGCGAAGTGAATGGCGGTGAGCGTGAGCGGAAAGGTGAAGCCGTACCGCTGCAGGGGGGCCCGGGCAGGGGGGGAGGTGGGAAGGTGCGGGGGGCAGAGGGGCGGAGGCAAGGCACAGAGGGGAATGAGGGAAAGTAGGTAGACTGGAGAGACAGACACGATAGCCATGTTAACAATAAGTTGTGGGAGCGAATGACAGTACGAGCATGCTGTACTTTTTGGAGCATGGCGAGAGCGAGTGAGATGAGTGGCGGCGGCTGGAAGGTGAGTGGGTGGGTGCACCTGGAAGATTTCGTTGTTGACGAGGATCATGATGATGTTGAACGTGCACCACTGCGCCACTGACGCCACCTGCGCTGCACACAGCGAGGGGGCGAGAGGAGGAGAGGAGGGGGGAGAGGGTAGAGAGGGGGAGAGCGGGAGCGAGGGGAAACGCCGCGTGAGGAAACAGCCCCATCCCCGTCTTGCAGCAGAACCTACGCCAGCCCTATTCCCTCGTCACGCCCATGTTTGCGCTCGCAAGGCGAATGAGCGACAATCACAAGAGGGCAATGTTAGGAGGGCAATCTTCGGAGGGCGATGTTAGGAGGGCACGTGACCTGCCAGAAGAACTTGGGCGAGCAGATGGCTCGGCACGGCTCCACCAAACAGCACGCCGCTCCGCTCGGATCCCACGCGCTGCACATCCACCCGCTGCCGCCCCACCCGCTGCCGCCCCCGCTGCTGCTCCGCGCGTGCCGTGGCGACGGTTGGGATCTGCGCGGCTGCGACCACGACGACACGGCCCGCGAGTCATCGCCTCGTCCTGCGCTGGACGCGTGAGGGGTTTCGGATCGATCACATGCGCGGTTTGAAATGTTTCAGGAGTAGGGACCGTACGGAAAGCATATAAGATTTTGCGGTTTCAGCCCAAACCGCACAAAACAGCACTCCATGCATCCTAGCCCAAAAGACTGCACGGTCGCGTGACCGAATACAGCTGTTGAGAATCGTGGAATGCGATGTCTAACGACTAGCGAAGCCGAGGCGGCGGGATCACTCACTGCGACGGCGACCACGCGGAGAGGAAAGCCTGCGACTCGTTTTCTTGCCCGTCGCTCAAGCTGCAGCTGCCGGGCTCCAACCGGCTATTTTCAAACCGGTCGGTCTCCAACCGACTATTCTCCAACCGGTCATTCTCCAACCGGTCAGTCTCCAAACCGTCAAAGATGTGAAATTTCGCGCTCACGCTCGGCGCAGAGGCGGGCGTGGAAGCGCGGCCTCTGAGCTCGGGTGCGGAGTGGTAGTCGGCGCCGGGCGAGCACGGCGTCGCGACGCTCAAGTCCTCGAGGCTTCCTCGCGGCCGCTCCATCAACGCGGCAACGCCCGTTTCCTTCGCGTGCTAGAGTTCTAGGTCCCAACGCTGGAGCGAGCAGGGTTGGTTATGCTGAGAGCATGGTTGGAATATGGTAGCGGAACAGCTGACGTTGCACACAAACGTTCAGGCTCGACCTCAGTTATTCGCCACTGTTATGCTAAAATCACAATATGGATCATGGCTTTGACACAGCTGCTGCTTAGTTCTCTCGAAGCATTATCAGTGAACTGACCAGTCTCGCAGGAAAGGTATGGATCTGCTTCAGCTCGTGGTTTCCAGTCCAGCCCTTGTACTCCCCGGCAATCGGAACGGAACGGATTCGAGCGGAGGAATAGAAGGACTGGATAGAATCGAGGGACGCTCCGAGATGGAACCGGGGGGAGAGGACACGAACGAAAAGAGGCGATCAATTCATTTGCGGCGAATGACGTTCAACCGTTCGATTGTGGGAGCACCAGGTGACTTGCGACTTGACGAACGATGCGACAAACTTCGGTTTAGCGAGGCTTCTGACGACCTCACACGATGTTCGATCTGATCACCTTTGAGGCGAAGCACCTTGGGTTGTAAGCATTGTTACAAATAACGGCCCTAAATTCACCTATAAAGTTCCTTACATAGAAAAACACATGCTACCAAGGAAAGCTAGGAACACATAGAGCAAACGTGCTGGACAATAAATGATCACACCTATTGGGCCAATTCATCACGTGCTGCAGCAAGTGCTACTTGCTGCATGTGCTGCTTGAAATTGAACCTCACCACCCGAGGGCTCACGGCACTGACAGGCACCCTCCCTCCCGATGAGGTTGGTCTTTCCCTTCCCGTCACACTCCCCCAACCTGCTTCATCCAAACTCTCAACCCTACCAGGGAACGCCCCCTTGTCTTCCCTCCCCATGCCAATCTCCCCCTCGCAGTCCCAAGAGGCCGACAGGTGGTGATGTCGCCCCACACGAGCCACTTCCCCGCCTGTGCGCCCCCTTGCGCCCGCCTCTCTCTCCGCTGTCTTGCTCCGCACCAGCCCCTGCCCCCCTAGCGCCTCCGCCCATGCCAGCTCATCACTGTGCCTTGACCGCTGGCGCCTACCTGCCACATCCACTCGAAGCCCTTCCCCCGCCCTTCCGCCCGCGCGCGTCCCCCTTCCCGCCCTCAACCTGCCGCTTCTGCTCCCCACTCCGTCGTTGCTGGGGGGCCGGGGCACGACCGGGGATGGTAACGGTAGCGCGGGGGGCGCGTCAATGGGCGGAGGGGGAGGCGCAACAAGGGCGAGCGCGGCGCTTGACCAATCCGAGGCGGAGGCGAGAAGCGGCTCGTCGGCGAGCTGCGGCTCGAGTTCGCCCGACGCAGCACCCGATTCGCGCAGCACGGCAGGGGCCACGGGCGCGGTCTTGCGTCGGGGAAAAATGGAATCACGCGCGTCGAAGTGACGGGGGGAAGCGGCGCTCCTGCCGGGGGCCGTCTGCGGGCGCGCGGGGCGGGGCAGCGCGGACATGACTCTGCCGTTGGGGATGTTTGTTTCGGGCGGCGATGCTGAGTGCCCATTCACAGAACAAGGTCGCTCCACGCCCGCTGGTACACCCGTCGCACTCGTCGTGCGCGGGGACAACGAAACCAGATCGGCACTTTCCGCACACCCCTCTAAATCAATGCAGTCCGCACGTCCCTCTGGATGATCCGCTTCGCTGGGATCCGAGCCCTCTCGTTTCTCCGCGCTCGTCGCCTCCCGTCCAACCATTTCGCCATGATTAGAATCGACCGCCAAGTGCTGAAACGAGAGGCTTCGTCGGCCGAGGCCCGCGCCGTCATCTCCGCCATCGTCCACAGCGCTCTCGGCGCTCTCCACGCGACAGCTGCCGACCCGCAGACTCAAATCCTGTCCGGCGCGCTCCTGACGGCGAGAGTTCGAGAGCAGCGACGGCAGCAGGCGCTTGGACTTTCTGTCTGCGATAGAAGCCGACGATTTGTCCGATTTGTCCGCAAACAGCATCCGCTGCACCTTGCGCGCCGTCGACCCCATCACGCTCCACTTCTTCCCTGTCGCAGCCCCTTCATTCGTCGTCGCAGCGGTGATCGCGACAGAGCCTTCGTGCGCCTGTGCGACGACTTCATCCATGTCGGCGGCGCGCTGCCAAAGCTCGCCCGATCCCATGATGGACGAAGCGCGCTGCAACGGACGTAACACATGAGTGTCGAGCGACGCCGTGAATTGCGGTGAGGCCTCGGTTTCTGCCATGCCTAATTGGTCAACTTTCTTGCGGTGTGGATGGGAAGTCTGATGCCAAAGACCTTCAATTCCACCACCGTGCAGACGTGTGTACAGTAGTGTGTTCACCACTGAGGGGAGGGGAGCACACAGTGGAAACTGTTTGAAGTGAATCCGGTCAGGAGTGGAACACTGTAAACTGTGCAGATGCATCGCGGAGTGAATTGGCATGCACGTGGAAAAGTCAGGAAGTTAGCTGGACTGCTCGCTCCATTTTCATTTTCACTCCAGCCAGACCGACCGGATGAGTACAGTACATAACGTAAGTCAAAGCACATCTGCGAATTCACGCGGTTTGAAGCAAATTGCTTAGGGTCAAAGTACATGTCATTAGGGAGACCCTCGGAATTCAGGAGGTCTGGGGATGCTACTACCATTTTTAGTACAGAGAGACGCGCGACTCATTCCATGTGGATGGAGAGATTTTGAAAGAATTGTGCTACCGCATGGGAAACTTGTTGGGAGGATTCTCATGCTGGAACGTGGAAAAATGTGTTCCATTGAGCGGGTGTTGCGTTGGCACTCATACTAACTCGAGTTAAGTGCCATGACTGGGAGCGGTCTTTTCACAGGTTTGACCTTTCACGAAAACTTGATTTAGGGAGTTAGTGGCGGAGGAGGATTCAGGAAAGGGAACACAGAGAAATCTTCTGGGCATATCGAGCGCACCCCAGCAACACCTGAACAGAGTCAGCCTTTGAGCCTGTGGTAATGAGTGGCGCGTAGTGGAGTAACGAAGGCAGCCGCGCCGCAGTGCAATTCTATTCGTTCAGCACAACCTCTACATCGTGTCGTTGGTTGGTCCATTGACAAACACACAGCTGCGCAACAGCTGTCCTCTGGATCACACTCCCACTGGACCAGAAAACTAACCTAGCCAATCTGCGCTATGGTCGTGAGCCTCACGTTATTTGCTTTACACTGACTGACTGAAGCCTATAACATCAAACACATGTTTTACTTAATATATTCTAATGGCCACCAGCAGGCTCCAGCAAAGCCAAGGCCTTTCTAATAAAATCAACAGCGGTCGGAACGTCATTACCCGCAAGCGCACTTACGGCATATCGAGCCGCCTTGTGCGCATCCGTTATCTCGCGAGGCCCTGGGCCTTGAGAGTTTGAGAAGCTGCCCATGGCCACAGACCCATTGGCTGCTGCTGCAACATTCTGTCCTGCTCTTGCTCCTCCACCTGACGCCACACCCCCACCACCTCCACCGTACCCCGAATGTGGAGACGCCTGTGATGCGTGTGCCCCGGAGGTACCCCCTGCTGCCCCCACGCCTGGGCTGGCAGCAGCAGCACCGCCTGGCATGAAGGAAAAGGCTGGGCCGGGAGCAGTGGCACTGGGCGCAGGGGCAGAACCAGGGGCGGCATTGGGGGCAGGCGGGGTGGCAAACATGGGGTTTGTGAACGCACCTGCGCCTACGGCTGCGGCTGCTGCTGCTGCTGCTGCTGCTGCCTGTGCCTGCTGGTAGGGCGGCGCTGCAGCAGCGGCGGCAGGATGGGCCCATCCGTGTGCTCCCGGGGCTGACTGGGTTGAGGGCGCGGCAGTGGATGGTGGCGTGGCAGAGGGGTAGTGAGAGTCGGGAGTCCAGTGGGTGAAGGTTGGCGGGGAGGCGAAGGAGGGAGCGGAGGCAGGAGGGGCGCCAGCATGGGAGGTGATGAACGCGCTGTCTGGCTGAGGTGTGCTCTGGTGCCATGCCTGAGACACCTGTGCCGCCTGTGCTGCCTGCCCTTGGAGTGCTTGCGAGTAGTCCCCATGGCCCTGGGAATACGGATTTGCTTGGGCATGAGGGTTGGGCTGCATGGCACCGCTCCCAGCTCCCACCGGCCTCGCCACCTGCAGCCTGCCAGTGGCACTGGCGCTACCGGGGGCAGCTGGGACAGCATTGGCACCATAGGAGCTGGGAGCAGCAGCGGCAGCAGCAGCAGCAGGAGGAGGGGCGGAGAACATGGCATCCAGGGAGTCGGCTGAGGGGAACAAGGGCGCTGCAGGAGGGGCCACGGCAGGGGCTGATGCAGCAGCGGCAGCATCGGCGGGAGCAGCAGCGGTGGCATCAGCGTCGCCCCCCGGTGGGCCGGGCGTGGGGCGCCTGCCGTCTGCCAGCGCCCTGCGTATGTCCGCCGCCTTCCACACCGCGTAGCGCTGCTTCTGCTCCACCTGCAGGGCGAACAGGCGAGGGGCGAGGTGATGGGGGGAGAGGAGACAGTGGGAGAGCGAGGTGGAGAAGGAGAGAGAGAGGAAGAGGAGGAGAAAGGGAGAGGGGATGCGAGCAACGGGAGCGGGAGAGGTAAGGTGAGGCACGGAGGAGAAGCCGTGGCAAGGAAGAAAGGGGGAGGGGAGGGATGGAGCGAGGGGAAAATCCAGGCTGGTATGAGGGAGGCTGAGGTGTGCTGTGCGCAAGGGCTGCAAGCATCGAGGCTGGCTGGCTAAATCCCAGAGGCAACAACCATCCCCTCTTAAAGGTTCCAAGGAGTGCATGTGTGGAAGAGCGGGCGGGCGGGTGCGCAGGTACCTCGGGAGCAAGCTCCCCAAACTGGCGGCACACTTCAAAGAAAATCCCTGCCGCGTAAAAGGTCTTTGCCGTGCCCCTGCCGACACGAGGGGGTGGGGGGGGGGAGGAAAGGGGGTGGGGGGATTGGGGAGGCGGGAAGGGCGGAAGGTTGGGACAAGCAGTTCTGTGCGTGTGAGGGGTGAAGTGACAGGGATGGCGCGTGGTGTGAGGGTGGTGAGTGGGTGGAAAGACAAGGTGCACGGAGCTCATGGTGCTGTGTGCTGGGAGTGGCAGACGCACCAACAGTGTCCCACGCCACACATGTCATGGCCCCTAACTCATTCCCCTCATGCCCCCCTGCAAGCCACCATGCATCACCCCCACCACACACTTCGCCTCCCTCTCCCCACCCACCCCTCCCTCTTCCCCCCCTCCCCCCATCCAAAGAGCAGCAGCGCCAGCAGCACCCCACGGCACCCCACGGCACGACAAGGCACGCGACGCACATGTCAGCGCGGGCGGCGCGGTCCTGCTTGTCCGCCTTGCTGAACACGCGCTGCGCGAAGCCCTCCACGTGCAGCCCGTCGTCGGGGGACAGCTGGAGGGCCGCCTTGTCCTGGTGGGTTGGGCACGTGGCAGGCAAGGTGCATTGACGATTGAACCAGGGGGGAGGGATGGAAAGGAGATGCTGCGCGAAGCCCTCCACGTGCAGCCCAGCCCGTCGTCTGGCGACAGCTGCAAGGCCGCCTTGTCTTGCGGGGCGGAGGCAGGTGCACGTGGCAAGGTGCATTGACGATTCAAACAAGCGGGGAAGGGAGGGAAGGTAGATGCTGTGCGAACTCTTTTTTCGTGCAGCCTGCCATCGGGAGACAGCAGCAGAGCCGTGCTTCCTGCTGGGCGTCATGTCAATAACCCATCACACCGCGTGATACAAGCGGGCCATACGGCCCATCTCGCGGCAGCGCAGCATTCGAGCCACATCAGTCACTACCCAGTGCCCTAATGCGTACATTGTCGAGGCGACAGTACCTTCTCAAGGCGGCTCATGATGGAGACGAGCAGCGCGTTCACGGCCTGGCTGCGCTCCTTGCTGGGCACGCGCAGCCCCTTGTCCATCGCGTACAGCCGACCTGCCACGCGCAACCACTCCAATCGTTAGGTTTTCTGTTGTTTTCTTTTGTTTGCCTGATGTTGTTTCATGATCTCTTTACTTGGGAATTTAACGCGCTTACAGTAGTAAGCTACTAGCGGGTCGTGCTTCTGCAGCTCATCGGCGCGCTGCAGGAACGGCACCAGCGCCTTGCCGTTCGCCAACTCGTCTCCCGACAACGATCCCGCCATATCCGCGACGGCCCGCAGACCAGCTGAGTTAATAAGATTCTAGTCAAGAAGCGGACCGACGCGGGAGTTGCAGACCCAACCGAACGCTTCTGTCCGTGGAAAACGCAGCTGTTCGTGGCTTCCTGGCAGGTGTGGAACAGCGGGTGAGTGAATTCCTACGTTGCTCAAGGTGAGTCGGTTTCTACGGTGAGAGACAACACTAATACACGCTGCGACGGAGCGAGCGAGTGCTATTGTTGCAGTGGCCGCGAGTGGCGGAATGGCAATCGGCTGTGGTTGTAACGCCTGTGGGCTGTGTTAAGGGCACTCCGCTGCGCCAAATAACACCCTCGTTTTGACCCAGTGGGTAGCGAGGTGTTATACTGGTTTCAGAGCCTAAGGTTCGAGTCCCGGCTGGTCAACTCTTTCCACCTATGGTGAGAACTGAAGTGTGGTTACTAGCTCGAACCCAGTGAACGATCCTGAAATCTAGGTCCCAGCGGCAGGGGGCCGACTCCCTGAAGTCCGAGGCCAACGGGGACGTTGGCACCAGGGGGGGACGAGTGCAACGCCTGTGGGCTGTGTTAAGGGCACTCTGCTGCGCCAAATAACACCCTCGTTTTGACCCAGTGGGTAGCGAGGTGTTATAGTGGTGCTCGGCAATTTCTAGGTTGAGTGCCTGCTCGAGTATTGACTTTCCACGATATAGGGCTTCATGGATTGCGGGCTGGTTGACCCGATATATTTCATGGAGGGAAGCACAATGATAGATGAAACAAGCATGTCAGCATTTTATTACATTTAGATTCTAAAACAAGAGTAGGGCAAATTCAAGGTATTTCTAGGACTAACTGTACAGGCAAGATAAGAAAGAACAGTGAAAAATTCCTACCCTTGCAGTTAACAGTAACCCACCGCAAACCATATGAATAATGCTGTAGATATTGAGAGCTATACCCTTTATAATAAGGCCCGTGTTAGTGGCGCAAGAGAGCCATTATCGGCTGCTGCACATATCCATTGCGTAGGCCGCAAGTGTCCCCTCCCCAACAACGCCCTTCATCCTACCATGGGATGATATTGGTGCGTGGGGGAGCTGGTGCCGACTTACGGTATAAGTGAAGGTTGATGAAGGTACGGTGCGGTGTGGTGGAGTGGAGTATTCAGCATACTTACCAGCCAATGCCCTTGCCCCTCATGCATTCCAATCCAGCCATGCAGACTCACAGTCCTGCCCATGGCCCCATGGCATCACATCATGCCCACGAGGGCAGGTCCATGGCATCCGCGCTGCTCCTGAAGCTCTCTGCCAGACCTATCAGCTCCTCGTCCTCTTCACACCCCTGCTGCACCCCCCCCTCCCCCTCCCCCTCTAACTCTCCCTCGTCTACTCCCTCTCCAAAGCCCTCGTCCCCTCCCTCTCCCCCACCTGCCATCTCCTCCCCCCCATCTCCCGACCCTCCGTGCTCCTCCTCTGCAGACGTCCGGTCCGGGCCAAAGTGAGGCGCAAGAAACAGGTTTGGCAGGGCGGAGGCAGGAGAGGAGGGGTGGGAGAGAATGGAGGGGAAGGCAGAGGGGAAAGGGGGGGAGGTGAGGCGGTGCAAGGGAGGGCTGAGAGGAGTGCTGGCAGCTGGTGTGGATGCATGCAGGGGCGGTGCTTGAGGGTCAGTCACGACCCGTCCGGCCCTTCCAGTAGCAGCAGCAGCAGAGAGGGCCGTTGGAGAGACAGAATGAGGGTCAGCAGCAGCAGCAGCATCCCGGTGTCCCTCACCTTCCCCTTCCTTGCCTCCCGCCCCTGCCCCTGTCATCCCACCTTCCTCTGCTCCCCCTCCTCCCCCTGTCCCTCCTTCCCCTGACCCCTCTTCCCCCGCACTTCCCCCTCCCCCTGCCGCCGCTGCCCCCCCTGCGCCCCCCCCTGCAGTGCTGGCGTGCAGCTTGAGGTGTGCCTGCGCCTCCTGCTGCTGAGCGAGCTCCCTCACACGCGCCAGCACGGCCGGCGGGATGGACGCCGACACCTGCTTCTTGCGCTGCTCGCCCTGCCCCCATGTGGCCATCCAGAGGGGAGGAGGGGAACGGGAGAGGGGGAGAGGGGGAGGGGAAGGAGGGGAACAGGGGAGGGGGAGAGGGGGAGGGGGAGGGGAGGGGGAGAGGGGAGAGGGAGGGGGAGAAGGGGAGGCAGAAAAGGGAGAGAGAGGCGGCAGAAGAGTGAGGAGGGGGAGGGGTGGAGGAGAGAGATGAGGGTCATGTGTGGGAGGTGGTTGTGGGGGAGTAGAGGGGGAGGAAACATGCTGCTTGATGTGGCAGGAAGATAGTGCATGGTGGCAGGATGAGAATGGTTGGATCTCAGGTGCATCGTACCTCATTGGGTGGCTGGAGCGCCATCCGGCTTGCACGCAGCAGATTTCGCCACTTGTCCTGCCATGATTGGATCGCAGACAAGTGAGAGGAGGGAGACAGCGATGAGGAAGGTAGGTGCAGGCTAAGATTCATCATCCACACGGTCTTTCAAAGTCAACAGAAGTCAACACGACACCTCGAGCCCAACATCAGTACCTTGAGGTCAACAGCAGTCAACTTGGTACCTTGAGGTCAACGGCAGTGCGGTAGCCAATGGAAGCAAAGGCGAGCTTCTTGATGTCGGCCCACTTGCCCCCTCCGCACCGCGCCACGCCATCCACAAGGATCATCACCTCCCTCAGCGTCCACGGCCGGTGGTGCTTGCGCCGCAGCCCCCCATTCGCCGTGTACATGCGCGCGTCGCCCGCACCCTCGCCCCCGCTGCCACCACTGCTCACCCCCCCGAAGTCAGAAAACGCCGCCGCTGCTGCTGCTGGCACTGCTGCTGCCACTACCGCTAATCCTGCTCCTGCTGGCGCCCCAGCTGCTGAAGTTAATGCTCCGGCTGCCTTCTTCCCCGCCCGCCCAGATGCTCCATGCCTCCGCGCCCCCCCTCCCCCTTCCGCCCGCCCTGCTGCTCCTCCCCCCTTCTTCGACCCCCCACCACCACCACTTGCAGGGGCAGTAGCTGCTGCCACACTCCCCCTCTCCATCCCATGACGCTGCTGCTGCTGCTGCAGGGAGGGAGGACTCAAGGGTGTGCCCGAGGGGCTCATAGGAGCCCCCACCTCATCCCCGCTGTCCCCACTGCCCCCTCCTCCCCCCCACTCCCCACCCCCACCACCCATCCCCCCCAACCCCTCATCTCCCCCTCCTCTCGCCCCGCCCCCCACACCCCCATTGTCCGCGAATCCCCCTCCTTGCTGCTTCCCCACGGTTCCACTTGGAAGGGCCCGGGCGGCAAGCCCACAGGAGAGGGCGGCAGGGTGGTCGGCAAGGGCGGCAGGCGGCAGGGGGGTGAGCGCCGGGACAGGGGACAGGCCGACCATGCTGGAGAGCTCCATCCAGGAAGCTTCCTGCAGCTTCCCGTCCAGAGCACCCCCCAGCAGGCTGACTCCTGGTGGGGTGGCGCCTGGGGGTGATGCTCCTGCCGCCGCTGACCCTGCCAATCCTGCTGCTGCTGCTTCTGCTGCCGCTGCTGCCGCAGCTGCTGGTCCTGTCCCCCCCAGTGATGCTGCTACTACCGCCCCTTCCTCTCCCAGCGCCCCTTCTCCTCCTCCTCCGCCTGCAGGCGTCCGTGACCACCTTGCCTCGCCCTTCCTGCCGCCACCCTTCCCTCTGCCCCCGCCTCCCGCCACACCAGCCGCCCGCTGCTGCACCTGCTGCTGCTGCTGCTGCTGCTGAGCCAACAGCTGCCTCTGGGGGGATGTTATGCCTGCTGCTGCTGTTGCTGCTGGTGGTGCTGCTGATGACGACGACAGAGTGGACTTCTTTTTCTGCAAAGTGGGAGAGAGGGAAGCAGAGCCCACGGAGTTCAGCAAAAGGCTTCCATGACAAGGCTGCAGACAGAGGTTGCAGACAGAGGTTGCAGACAGAGGTTGCAGCACTCTTTCCTGCCTTGTCAGTCCAACATGTAGATTGCTGACTGAAACCACCTCACAGCCCATCGCATGAACCAAACGAATCTCAACACTGCACCATACACATACCGTGTGGTGATTGCACTGTCACTCACTTTTGCTGGAGGTCTCTCCTTCCCAGCAGCAGCAGCAGTAGCCGCAGCAGCAGCAGCAGCATCCTGTGATGCCACCACTCCTGCTCCACCAACCTCCTCCACCCCCCCTGCCCAACCATCCCCACCTTCCCCCCGCTCACCCCCCTCCCCCGCCTCCCCTCCTACACTCCTTCCTGCAGCCTCTAAGTCGCCCTCTCCCACCCTGCCCCGCTTCGCCCTTCCCCCCCCAGCAGCAGAAACAGCAGCAGCACTCTCCCCTTTCCCCGCTCCCCTCCCTCCTCCTCTCCCCCTGCCTGCTCCCTTTCCCCCAACCGTTCCTCTCGCTTCCCCTTCGGCCCCCCATCCACCAGCAGCAACCGCAGCAGGCTCAGGCACGTTGGCAGCATCGGGCAGAGAGGAAGCGCCCTCCCCCACCTGCTGCCTTCCCCAGGCCATCACGGCTCTTGCCATGCCTGCCACGTCAGCGTCTACAGTAAACCCTAATGTGGCAGCATAGTCCCCACTCTGCCCTATCCCTCCCCCCCCTCCTCCTCCCCTTCCAGTTGCTGCCACGTCAGCACCAGTAGGATGCCAGTCCATGTCTGGTTCTGACGGCTGTCCCTCCTCCCCTTCAATATAGTCACCCTCGTATTGGAACCCCCCCTCATAGTACCTCGAGTTCAGAACCCTCTTCCTGCGGCTCCTCTCACTCACCCCTTTCTCCAGCACTTTATCACTCCCTGCTCTCCCTCCTCTCTCACTCACTCCTACTGCTCCTGCTGCCGCTTGTGCTTCTCTGCCAGCCTCCTCCATTCGCCCCTCGCCCCTCCCACCCCCACCACCAGCACCACTCACTGATCCACTCCCCTTGTCAGCTGTGCCTCCTGCTTCACCAGACATAGCATTCGCTTGTTTGGTTGTGGCAGCTGCAGCAGCTGTAGCAGCTGCAGCAGCTGTAGCAACTGTAGCAGCATGGTCAGGTGCAGCTGTAGCAGCAGCTGTCCCAGCAGCAGGAACCGGGTCAACAGCTGTAGTGCCAGCTGCAACCGGTGCTGCTTTCTTCCCGTGTGCCCCTGCCCCTGCCTCTCGCCCTTTCCCCTTCCCTCCCTTCCCACTGCTGCCACCCGCGCCTCCTCCTCGCTTCCCCTTCCCTTTGCTGCCACCACTGCCAGAATTGGCACCAGCAACAGCTGGAGCAATATTGGCAGTGGCAGCAGAAACGGCAGTGGCAGGAGGCAGAGGGACGGGCAAGCCGCGGAGAGGGCTGGAGAGTGGGCTGGCGCTGATGACGTGGTTGGGACTGGCGCGCGCAGCAGTAGCAGTAGTAAGGGCAGCAGTAGCAGGGGAAGCAGGGGCAGCAGGAGCAAGCGCAGGAGAAGGGGCGGGAGCAGGAGCATGGGGCGGAGAAGAAAGAGGGGAGCGTGAAGAAGCAGGGGCAGACGGGAAGGCAGCAGCAGCAGGAGTCGTAAAAGGGAAGGCAGCAGGTGCACGGAGAGGGCTCGTGACAGGGCTGCTCCCTTGCACTCCCACACCCATTGGCACGCCCACACCTGGTGCCATTCCCATGCCCCACCCTGCACCACCACCACTACCTGTCACTCCTTCCAACTGCTGCTGCTGCTGCTGTCGCTGGTCCCAGCCAAGCGACAATCCTGCCACATGTGCTCCCCCTGCTACTCCGCCTGCTCCTCCTCCTGCCCCCATTGCCGCTCCTCCACCTCCTGCTCCCCCCGTCCCCACGCCCGCTGCTGCTGCCAGGCGTTCCTCCTGCTGCCGCGCCAGCAGCTGAACCAGCAGCTGGGGTCGCTCCAGCAGCGTTGCAGCTGCCACGGCGGCCCCTCGGGATTGCAGCACCTGCTGCCACACCTGCTGCAGCACCGCCTCGCTCAGCATGCTCTGCACCTGCTGTGCCGCTGCTCCCGCCTCCTCTGCCTGCTGCTGCACCTGCTGCTGTGGTTGCTGCTGCTGTTGAAGCGGCTGTTGCTGCTGGAGCTGTAGTTGCTGCTGATGCTGCTGTGGTTCTCGTTGCTGTTGTTGCGACGGCTGTGGTTGTTGCAGTGGCTGCTGTGGTTGCTGGGGCTGCTGCGGCAGTTGCGGTTGCTGTGGCTGTTGTTGCTGCTGTTGCTCCAGTGCCCTCTGCTGCTGCTGCAGCAGCACCTGTTGCTGCCACGCGCCTGCCAGTCCGAACTGCTGCTGTCGCTGCAGCTCCTGCTGCGCCTGCCTCTCCATCTCCTCCTCCAGCTGCTGCTGCTGCCGCCGCCGCTGCTCCAGCTGCTTCTGCTGCATCTGTTGCCGCTTCTGCTGCAGCCGCTGCTGCCTCTGCTTCTCCTTCAGCAATCGCTGCTGCTGCTGCTGCTGCTGCTCCTCCTGCCCCTGTCCGTCACGCTGCTTGCCTGCCACCACCTCGCTTGGCCCCTCCTCTCGCTCTTTACCTTTCACCACCTCCCTCGCCCCCTCGTCTCGGTCCTCTTCCTTCCGTTCATCCTCTTCCTGCTTCACATGCTCTTGCTGCCTCTGTACCGCCAGGCCTTCTTGCCTCTGCGTCTGCGCCCCCTCCGCCTCCTCCACATCTTGCTGCCCTCCTTGTGCCTTCCCTAGCGCAGCCCCACTCCAACCAGCATCAACCACCAAGCCTGGACTCGTTTCAGCAATCAGCTGCGCTGCAGGCAGCTGCATGGTCGGTGGCAGTTCACGTGGAGGGGACGCTGCAGGAGTGTGAGCAGCGGGGTGTGTAGCAGTGTGAGCGGGAATGGCTTCAGCAGCGTGGGCATCTGTCAACATATGCTGCGGACTGCTGCCCGCCTGCCCTCTCTGCATGCCGCTCGCCTCTCTTCCAGTGCCAACACCACCCGTCTCAACACCTTCCTCCCCTCTTCTCTCTAGCCCCTGCATCCCTGCCTGCCCTTCCTCCCAGCCTTGCTCCTGCGCCTGCCCACTCGCTTGCTGCTCCTGCTGTCCTCCCTGCCGTCCCGCCCCTGCCTTCACTCTCCGCCTTTGCCCCCCTGCTTGCTGATGCTCGCCTGTCTTCCGCCCCTTGTGCTGCCTCACCGTTTCATCCCTTCCCACTCCCTTCCTCTCCGCTCCTTCCTTGTGCACTCCCTCCCTTTGCACGCCCTCCCTTTGCACTCCATTCCTCGGCAGAAGCTCAACATGGGCACCCGCCTTGCCTTCTTCTTGCCTAACCCTACCTGCACCCGCTTTAGCCACCTCAACCTGTGCCACGTCAGCGCGTGCCACCTGTACATGTGCAAGCTCACTTGCTTGAGACTCAATCCGTGCCCCTGTCCCAACTGCCCCACCTACACGTGTCTGGTTCCTATCATCCGTCAGCTCCTCGGTCTGTGTCAGTGCCTGTAACTGTACATGCGTTTCATCTACCGTTTCATCTACCACCTTAGAAGGTTCCGCATCACCTTCTCTAGTTGTTCCCATTTCCATGACCTCTGCCTCGTCCTTTTGTCTAAGAGCACGCCCATCCACCAAGGGCCTCTCGTCACCCACACACTCCACCTGCCACCCCTTCTCACCCTTGCTCCTCTGCTCCTGCTCTTGCTGCTCCCCCGCCCCCACATGCCTCTGCCTCGCCCCTCCTGCTGCTGCGCCACCAGCCATCGGTCGTTCACCCTCACCCGCATCCTCCAAACACGCCTCCCCGTCTCCTTGTTGCTCATCTTCTCCCCCTACTCTATCCACACTTCCTGCACTGCCCCCTTCTGCCGCCATGCTGGCCCCCAACCCCCCTTCACGCACCTCCATCTCCGCATCTTCCCCTCCACTGCTCGCTCTCAGATCCTCCACCTTAGCACCTTCGCCCCCTTCTCCCACTTCTCCTGCTTCTCTTGCTCCTCCCCCTTGTCCCGCTTCTCCCGCTTCTCCCGCCTCTCCCCCGTCTCTTCCCCCCCTCGTCTTGCCCTCCTCTCCACCTGCTGCCCTCTCCGCTACAGCCCCACCTCTGGGCTGCATACGTTCCTCCTCTGCCTCCTGCCGCCCTTCCCGAGCCTGAGATTCTTCACCTTGTGTTTGCCGAACCTGTTTCCGCCGAGCCTCAGCCTGCCGAACCTGCTGTTGCATGCGCTGCCGCTCCTCCCACTGCTTCTGAATCATCTGCCGTCGCTGCAGCCTCAGCTGCCTCGATACTGAGGGGGCCACAGCCCCGCTCACGCCCTCCCTTTCTCCCCGTTTCCCTTGCTCCTCCTCACTTGCCCCTTCGCCTGCCTCACCCCTGCCCCTACTTTCCCCTTCCATCCCATTTCGCCCGGCACTTATCTCCTGCATCTCCCTCGCTCCTTCTGACTGCCCTCTCTCCTCCACCACTCTCTCCTCCACCACTCTCTCCTCCTCTGCTCCCTCCCCTTCCTTCAGGTCACTCGCCCAGCCAGCGTCCTCCTCCGCTCGTGCTTCTGCCTCCCCACCCACACCGCTCGTCCACCTCGCTGCTCCAACCGCCCCACTCTCCCTACTCCTCACCCTTCTACCCGGCACTTCCCTTCCAGCCCTTGCCTCCACCTTCCATCTGCCTCGCCCTCTGCCTCTGCCTCTGCCTCGTCCCGCCCTCACTCCCTTACCACGTGCGCCCCTGCTCCCCACCTCCTTCCACTCCGCTGCTCCAGCCCCGTCCACTGACGCACGCGCATCAGCAGCAGCAGTGGCAGCGCCGGCACCACCGCCTGTATCTGCACCCACTGCAGCATCTTCGGCATATTCAGCCCCTGAAGTTTCGTCCGCGTCATCACTCATTTGCTCTGATGCAGCCTCGTCTCCACCGTCCCCTGCTCCATCTGCTGCTGTAAACTCACCCCCCTCCCGCTCTCCCTCTCCCAACGTCCCTCCAGTTCCATCTGCCTCTTCAGCCTTCCCTCGCCCTTCCCCATCCCGCTTCACTCTCCCTTCCCCCATTGCCCGCCATCCAGACTGCAATCTCCGCCTCTTTCCTCCCCCTCTTCCCCCCTCCGCGACCTCTCCGCCCTGCTGCTGCGCCACCTGCTGCGCCTCACTCCCACTCAGCGCAGCCCTTCCTGCGGATACCTCCACAGCAGGCGCAGCAGAAACGCCTCCAACCGCCGCTCCCCCTGCTGCGGTTACAACAACAGTCTCAGAAGCCGCCTCCCCAGGCTCTGCCTTCGCCTGCAGTGGTGCTGCCTGGCGCCCACCGCCTCGCCGCGCGCTCACTCTCCTCCCCCTGCCCTCCTCCGCCGACTGCGCCCCCCCTTGCGTTCCTCTTGCCCGTGCAACAGGGGAAGCGGGGGCGGAAGCAATGGGGGAGGAGCGGAGATGGCGCGGGCTGGGCGGGTGTGGGGCACCGCCAAGGGTTGCGCTTGCTGGGGCGCGCCCACTGGCGCCAGTCCCCCCTGCTGCTGACTGCCCCATAGCTGCCCCACCCGCCTCAGTGGGCAGAGCAGCGGCTGTGGCAGCAGGTGGTCGTTGACTGCGTTGACTCCGTTGACCCGTTTGGCCAGCTTGACCTGTTTGACCTATTTGACCTGCTTGACCCCGTCTGCTGCGAGGCCGAGTGGGCCATCCACCAGAACCCAACCACTCCCACGCTGCTCCCTCTAACCCTAACCCTAACCCTAGCCCATGCCCGTCCTGTCCTGCTTCTTGACCATCTCGTTCCAATCCATCTTCTCCTTCCTCTGCTCCCTCTGCTGGCCCTCCTTGCGCCCCTCCCTCTCCCCCTGACAGGGCATGCGCGGCCCCCCATCCTCTCCGCACCACCTCCTCGTCCCTCCCCCGGGCCCCCAGCCGCCACCTGCTGCGGCGCCCCACCCGTGTCCTCCCCCCTGCGCTCGCTCCCTCCCCCTCCTCCCCCAACCCCTGTGCTCCGCCGTCCGTCCCCTGCTCCTCCCCCGCGCCCATTACTACTGCACTAGCGGCAGTGTGCGCCCCCCCCGCGTCCTCTGCGCGCCCCGCGCCACCAGCGCCGCCATCACCAGCGCGCCGAGGCATTCCCACGCCCCTCCCTCTCCCCCTCCGCCCCCGCACCCCGCCCAGAGCTCCCCTTGGCCGCCCCACCCGCCCATGAGCGGGGAGAGAGCGCGGGGCGGAGAGGAAGGGGGGATGGTGCTGATCGTGGGCTGGATGGCGGGAAGGGGGGGGCGGAGGGAGGAGAGAGTCAGCGGCGGAGAGGTCGGCGCGGGGATGGGGGTGGGGGGTTGCGCTACTTTGCCCCACAGCGAGCTCGTGGTGCGAAATCTCCGTCAGGAGAAAATCCAGAAACTCCTGACGCGCGTGCACACCTGTCCTCGTTTCGTTGGCTGGCGGGGCAAGCACGCCGTTAACAGCCCCACGGGGGTTCGCTTGACCCACGCGGCGGTCCCGCCCACTCTTCACGTCATCCAGTCCGAACCCTAATTCCGCCTTCACGCCTCTCCCTATCCGCCCTTCCGCTCGTGCCTGCCCTCTAGCCAATAGCGACCTGCCACGTGGCTGCCCAGTTCCTATCACCCCCACCTCCCCGCCCAGCCAGGGAAGAGGGGGAGAGGACAGCGGGGGCCCGCCCGCCTCCCCTGCTCCGCACTCCTCATCCGGCCCTAAGCCTTCCCCCCATGGCCAATCCCCCAATTCCGCCTCCCCCGCAGCCTCCGACGCCCCGGGCGGCAGGGGCAGGGCGAGCGCGTCGGGCGCATGGCGGAGCATCCACGCTTGGAACTCCTCCAGCTCGCGCTCCGATATGGGCACGGCGTCAAGAAAGTCAACGGTGTCAACGCGGTCAACGGGGTCCACCCTGCACAGCCTGTACACAACCTGCTCGCCGTCGCCTCCTTCGCCCCATTCGCCCTCCAACGCAACCGCGTCCGTGCCACTCTGGCCTTGTCTTCTCGCCTCAGCATCCCCTTTTTGCTGCTGCTGAGCATCTGTGCTCGACAGCCCCTGCTCCTGCTTCACTCTACCCTCCTCGTCCCCTCCTTCCTGCACCTGCTCGTGACTACTATTTACTCCCGCCTCCTCCCCCTCCTTCGCCTCTTTCGCCTCCTCCCCCTCCCCCACCACCCACTCCTGCTCCTCCTCCTTTATTTCCACGCTCCTCGCTTCCCCACCGTCGCCACAACCTCTCTCCGCTACACTCACCCCCTCTAACATCACATCCCCTGCTACAGCCGGCACCATCTCCCCAGAACGCTCCTCGCGCTGCCTCGCACCCTCACAACCCCCGGGCTCCTGACCCCGCTGCTCCGACGACTGCCTAAGCACCGCCGTACTCTCTCTCCCGGCTCCCACCGCTCTCTCCTCAATCAACCTCGCGCCTCGGTCTCTTGACATCTTCTTCCTGATTGGCTGACGCTGGTGCTGATTCTGAAGCGCCTGCGGCGGCAGGAGGGGCTGCTGATTGGCTCCAGACGCTACCGGAAGGGCCATTTCCATGGCGCGTGGCCTGTCCCCGTCGCTGCAACGCTGACATCAGCATGCGTGCCCTGACCCTGACATCACTGCCTCGCCTCAACTTCTCCCTCCTATGCTACGCCAAGGTGAGCGGCTGGCTACGGGGAAGCGGTAAGTGCGAAAGCGTGAGATAAAACTCACGGGGTCGAGAGCCTGTTTGACCAGCTAGTCTGGATGTCGCAGCGACGTGTGACGGCGGCTGGCGAGGAAATTGTAAGGGGCAAGTGTACGATGGGGGAGAGACAGACCGAGCCGACGACACGCGTACGGCGGTTGACGAGAAACAGACTAACGGAACGAGGTTTACGCGGTCGGAGGGAAGGCAAGGCACAGTCGATGGCTAGTTAGGGTTAGGTAGTATCTTGAGGGGCCATGAACAAACGCAGAGAGTAGCGCACGGCGGAAAATACCAACGTGTCAAATCAGCACGATATCGGAGTATATGACGTGTACCAGGGATAACGGAAACGCAATCTGCGCGGATGACGACAAGAAGGAAGCTAATAGGTACAGCAGGAAGGCTAGATGGTCGTGCTTGCTTCGTCCCGTCAGCGAGGTGCACTTACTCGGGTCGACGTCGAAGCGCAAGTTGCGAGCTCGAGCGTGCAGGCCTGGAAAATCCTAAGCTGGAACAAGGACGCTTTCTAAGACTAGAACGAATTTCAGAGCGACGACAATAAACAGTGCCACGTTGCGACCCGGAAGTTGCCAGTCTGAAATATTGTCGATGATACGAATGATGCATTGTCTCGTACCGCACGAGGAGCATTTGCAAGGCCTAAATTATCTCGAGAATTCTTTCCCTGGTTCAGCGACGTTGTTGGCGTGGCCAATGGCTGGCTCAGCGCGGCTTGCGCCTGAGAGCTTACTGCACGCTACCTATTTGTCTTGGCGTGGCGGGAAGCAGAAATGGGAACCCGAGGGGAGGGAGAGAGTGCATTGATGCCGCAGTCCCGTCAGCGGCACCAAATCGCCTCGCTCCCTCCACTCCACACTCAAATAGTGGAGTCCAGGGAGACTCTCTCCCGTCACTTCGGCTTGGGCCAGCGGAGGCCGACGCAAGTCCAGCAGCGTCCTGACTTTGTTGCGAATCGCATGCAGCGGGGCAGCTGCTTGGGTCAGGTTCGGTCAGTTCAAACTCCAAACCAGGGAGGAAGAAACAGGTGCAGTTTCATACGTGCTGCCCGAATGCCAATTTTTGGGGGAGTTTAGCTTCGGAAACACCAACCTCCTGGTTGTCACATTACGTGGCTGCACCTGACTGGATATTGACTTTATGCCAAATCCGAAACAGCGGCGGGATTCCACGTCGTCTTTGCCGAAGCTGAGTACCTTGCAGCAAATCCACTGCCAGCTCCGGCTTCAGGCGACAAATCTACTCTGGTTCAAATCATGGACAGAGGTAAACCTTTCCGGCGGTACCTAAAATTCTGGGGAAGACCTTATCGATTAGCTCCAGGTTCTGGTCAACACCCATTCGAGTACACAACCTGTCCAAAGTGAGTCCTATATTAGAAAAGTAGGGGTTTGTTTCGAATGCACAGATTTGTTCAGGCATTCCACAATTGAAAAACAACCATCGCATATCACCGAACCACTCATCAGCCTTGGCCCCACAGCCACGTAACAGATGATTGTGGTGACGAATCAAGGCACGGCAAGGTCCAGTGCGTGACTGGGGTGAGGTCTCTGAACCAAAAGCAGCTCACGAACTCCATCTTTGTACCCATTTCGGGGTTCTCTCAACAGCTTGCGTTCAGGTGCTGGACATACGGTACACGGCATTCAAAGCTATTGAGAAATGAGTCTACTTTACACCAGTATAAGAAACATAGGCACCAACACAACAACCAGGTAGAGCACCAAGAAACTGTTCACCATGTCCTTTTATCACTTTGTGATTGTCAAGTACTGATCCCAAAATTGGAATAAGCTACTATTTACAATCGTCACAGATGCCTGGGAAAAAAACACAAAACTCTTCTAAGGTAGCAATATGATGTCACCTGCAATGAACACCACACCAAGAAATCCATCTTCAAAGGAGCAAGAGGTATGAAAAGGCACAGGAAGAGGGGAACAGGCGGGGCAAGTGATCCGATGATACTTCACCTGTATGAATCAGGTTTGCATCTTGGATGTTGTTGATCTGCATAATTGCATCCACTGTTGTTCCATGCATACGCGCTATGGCATAAAGAGTGTCACCCTGCACGCGCACAGTTTCATGTTCACAGCCATATGGTCACCGTGCAATGTAAGAAAGTCTCTGACATCATAGCTGAATTATGGCTTCAAACAGCACAAACAACGTTTTGTAGAATAAAGCGTGAAAAGCACATACCACTTGCATTGCTCATGCGTGTGCAGCGCAAACTTTATGAAGGGTGTATGTGCGGAACACACCTTTGCGATGGTGTATGTGCGGAACACACCTTTGCAATGGTGTACGTGCGCGGAACCCAGAGGCTCTGGCCGGGGTGTAAGAGGTCTGAGCGGAGTGCGTTGGCCTGCCAGCACTCCATGGGAAGCACATCGGGGAGCACACTCATGGGAGCACACTCATGGGAGTAACAATTCTGACAAAAACAACTAACAGGGGACATGGTGAAAGAGGCAGAGAGCACAGATTTCGCTTTGCAAACACCCCCTCTTCTCTACCAGACCAGCGCGTCGTCACCTGCATGAGGATCTCCACGGTGCTTCCCAGCTGGCCGGCAATCTTTGTCAGGTTGTCGCCAGGCTGCACGTCGTAGTAGGACCTCCCCTCCTCGTGGCGCAGAGGCAGGGCTGCGGCGGAGCAAGAAAAGGAGGGAAGTGCAGTGAAGAGAGGTGGGAGAACTGGTTCTCTCATTCCCCTCCCCCCCTCCGCTCCCCCCTCTCCCTCCCCCTTCCTCTCCCCCTTCCCTCACTCTCCACTTTCCTCACCACGCGCCTCTCTCCGCCCACCTTGCTGCTTCTCGGGATTGCCGAAGGGCCACATGTCGTCCCGCCGCGGCTGCTCCCCACCCCTCAACGATCTATCGTCCGCCCACAAGATTGCTTCGGCAAACTGCTGCGCCCACAGAAGGTAAAGTATAATTACTTTCCACTTATGTTCTATCTAGATTACTGGTTGTAAGGACGACGAACGAACTGGAAACGACTCCGACTGTGCAGGTGAAAAGGCGAGCGTAGCGAAACGGTGCGGCGAACGATAGGCGCACTCTACGCGTGGATAGATGGCCACGGCTAGCCCCGCCTCACAGTGTCTTCCAAATGTCTGCTCTAGTGGACTCCACGCGACCTGCGATGGATGAGCCAGTCTGCGGCTGATTTGAAAACAGCTGTTTGAAAACATATCGTGCAGTTCGAGAGGAGCTCAGATGTCATCCTTGGATCTTGGGGCACGACTCGCCTGAGCTAGTCTTGGGTTGGGGGAGGCGTTCACGCCTTGATTGAAGGGAGGGGAAAACCACGGCCTACCGCTCTGTATTGTTTCACAATTTGCATGTCATAAATTCATATGATGCTGATTATTGCTAGAACAGCTAGTGAACAATTGTGCAAAATCTAGAAAATATATCTGTTTACAGAGCAATTCGTCACGCATCCTACCGTCACCCCCCGGATATACCCCCATGGGGGGGTATAATAAAACATGTTTTTTTAGGGGGGTGGGCTTATAATCGAGTAAATTTATAAGCGCCGGCGTTTATGTTATGTCAAAAATGGAATTTGTTTTTAAATATACCAAATCGAAGCATTCTCAAAGGCGGATTCACCTGAGTCGAAAACGTTCAAAACTGTGCATGGTTTGCGCGTGAAAAGGCCAACAAGGCGTGGCTTCACGCCTTCCGCGCCTTGTTGGCCAGGCCAGGTTCATCGAACGTGAACCTGGCCTATGCCAGCGCACACGCACTTCGCATCACGGCTGCCCAATCAGGGTTGCATGTGGTCCAGGGCACGTCGTGGTTCAGCCACGACGTGCCCATCCAGAGCAAGATTCCCCGCCACCGAGGCAACGAGCTGCCCAGCTCAGCTCCTCTGCGGAGAATCTTGACTGTGGCCACGCTTTCCCCGCAGAGGAGGCCGGGCCACGAAACTGGAGGGGTCTCGGGCGGGGGCTTCATACGGCCCTCATTCTCAACTTTCATTTCAGTTTCTTTCGTTGGTTTGGCCTGCCGTGGCCATGGCGGGCCTTCCTGGCACGCATTTCTTGTTTCGCCGCCAACCTGCTGCTAGAGAAAATACCGGTAGAGACACCCGTGACTACTCTCAATGGCAGACGCGCCCTGCGCCTGTCCCTCCAACACACCCAGTCGTGCCTCCCGTTCCTCCCACTCCTCCAACGCCTCCTAACCCTCCCACTCCCCCGGCGCCTCCGGTTCCTCCCGCTCCTCCGTCCCCTCCTGAGCCGCCTGTGTTTGGTGCTCCACGTCAAGGGGTTCTGCAGCTTCTCCTCCCTCCTGGCTACTCGGCGTTTGACGCTTACCTGTCCGAGCCCGACCGCACCGGTGGCGCATCGTCTTCCTCCGCACCGTCGCCACGTTGGGGAACCCCGGCTGATTGCCCGTTGGACGAATCCGCGAATGGTGCGGAGGACGATGTGGAGTTTTGGGCTGCCGACGGTCTTCCAGAGCACCTGCCTATTCCCACCTTTCCCCCTCCTAATAAAAAACGGCCCCACCCTTCTCGCGAGAATCGCGATGCCCGTCCTCCCTCCCCCAGGCACAAGCCTACAAGTCACAAGCGCCATTCTTACACATCGCAGGAGAAACTACAGTGGATTCTCAAGCTTGAATCCGGGCAGATGAGCGTGCGGCAGATGGCTCGCGAAACCGGCATCTCCCGAAGGTCACTTGCAGAGTGGAAGACCCGGAAGGCTGAGCTGGAGGGCGCGCATGCTGCTCGCAAGCGTCTTCATGGGCGCGGAAGGAGCTCGTGGTATCGCGACATGGAAGCGGAAGTCTACAGGAGGTTCCTCGCCCACCGTAGAAAATGTCTCGCAGTCTCGATCGCACGCCTTCAGAAGTGGTCGCATGAGGTGATGAAAGAACTGCACCCAGAGGTAAAGTGGTCCGGCTCTCAGCGGTGGACTGAGCGGTTTCGCCGCCGCTGGAATCTGACAACCCGAGCGAAGACCAGGGTCGGCCAGAAGCTTGCGGCCAGTGAGTTTATTTTTTTAATTTGTCGTTTATTGTTTACTGTTTTGTGTTGTTTGTCTATTCATGTCTAACGGTTGTATCCCAACGCGTCACTAATCCTGTGTTTGTTCTCTCTTGTCCTCCCATCCATACTCCCAGATTGCGAGATTGATGTCAGGAACTTCTGGAAGTTTGTGCGTCACACCCGCCGCCAAAACAAGATCGACCCGCAGTGGATTATAAACGCGGACCAGACGCCACTGTGGCTCGAGATGCCTGCCGAACGCACCGTCGAGGAGGTGGGCTTGCACTCTGTGCCCATCCGCAGCGGCGGCTATCAGAAAGAGCGAGTTATGGTGATGCTCGCCTGCACCGCCAGCGGTGAGAAGCTGAAGCCGTGGTTCTTCTTCAAACGGAAGACCCTCCCGAAAGGGGATTTCCCTTCAGGTAAGCATTACCACCCACTGTTGCATGTTTATTGTTTTATTTTATACTAATATTGTATGTGCGTTTGTGGCTGTTCAGATGTTACGGTGTCCGTCCATCCCAATGGTTGGATGGACGCGGACGGTGTCATCGCGTGGCTCGACGGGGCGGTAAAGCCGTACGTCAACCCCAAGTTCGGAGTTCGGCCCCGCAAAGCGATGCTCATCCTGGATTCGTACCGCGGGCACCTGACTGCGGAGGTGAAGAAGAAGTTTGGGGAGCTGAACATCGTCCCTGCCGTTATCCCAGCTGGCTGCACCTCGGAGATTCAACCTCTAGACGTCGCGGTGAATCGCTCCTTCAAGGCAGCCGTTCGCCAGCTCTACCAGGAGTGGTTCGAGAGCGAGGGGGTCGACACCTTGACGAAGAAAGGTGAGACAGGCCGCCCATGTGTGTTTGTTTATCGTTTTGTAAACCTTACTGACTTTGGTTCTTGAAATTCGTGGCAGGCAACATCAAGAAGCCTCCACCCGAGCTGACGCTCAAGTGGATCTCAGCGGCATGGAAGGCCGTGCCTAAGGAATTGATTCAACGGGCTTTCCTCACCTGCAGCATTAGCAACGCTCTGGATGGGTCCCAGGACAAGATCTGCCTGCAACACAGGCGCGACGAGCTCGAAGGCGACGAAATTGACGTCGACGATGACATTGCAGCAGATGGCTTCTTCTGCAACAACGTAGAGGAACCTGAGTCGGACTCTGAGGCCGACCCGGATTACCCCACCGCAGCTGATGACTAGAGTAGATTTAGATATTGATGTAGCCTGTGAGGCTCGTAGGTAGACCTATGGTAGTGGTACTGCAAATTTCAAGAAACCGTAGATAAACTATGAAATTGTTTAGGTGAGCGTATAACTTGTTGTATAGGTTAAAAAAACTTTATTAAGAAATAAAACATTAAAAAGAGGGTGGCGGTTATAATGTGTAAGGCACAGGTATGCGGTTATAATCCGTAAGACTCTAGGCTATGCGCTTATAATCGAGGAGGGGATATAAGCGCCACATGCCAATTAGAAGCGCCAGGCGCTTATCCTAGGGTGGCGCATATATCCGGGGGGTGACGATATGTTAGATTCAAGCAGTTTCACCAACATGATTGGTAAGCCTAATCCACAATTCCTCTAGCTTTCAAAAACTTCCGTTTGTTATGGCAAGTCTTTATAAAACCATCTCCTGGTTCGCCCCCCACTTCCCTGCTCAGCCCTGCAGCAGCATCCAGCACATACAACACACATTCCTCACTATCCCACCCCTCAAACCGCTGCAGGCTTCTGCATCCAGGTAACAGTTGAGCCAATAATTTCCTCCCATTGTCCTGATCCGCATCTCCGTTTCCAGCATCCAAAAGACTGCCTTCCTCTGCGAATGTCAAACAACCTCCTGTTTCCATGCTTACGTCACCTCGGTCTCTCGATGTGCCCTCCCCTCCATGGCTCGTTCCCGAGCTTCCCCCCCCACCGCCTCCTCCCAACCCACTCTCAAGAAACCCCACAACCTCGCTCCCAATACTAGAGAAAAACATCCCCTCCAAGTCACACGGCCAGAGCACAGCCGAGCGAAACACCGACAGGGACACAGGGGCCCAACCAACAGCATGAAGGCAACGCAAGCCGTGCCACGCACTCAGGTCCAGTGACTGGGAATCCATCGAATTCCTCCACTCGAGGATCTTGACGGTCTCTATCACACCTGGTGGGAGGCATGCCGCCTGCTCTGGATCCATGTCAGTGCAGAGGGAGTGAAGCGACGTGAGGTGAGGCGCGTGCAACGCCCACGGGCAGGTCGGGTCGATGGTAAGGAAGAGAGACGTCAGGTGCACGGGGCAGGTGGGGAGCAGGAGCAGGCGGGAGTGGCGGGACTGCCATCGAAACTTGAGGGAGGAGAGGCGAGGGCCGGAGAGCGAGATAGAGCAGTTGAGACCACCGAGTCTGACATCAGTGGCCAGCGGGAGGTGAAGAGAGAAGGACGTTCGTCCGTCCACGTCCCTCTCCCATGGGTCCTCGCCGATTTCAGGGCCCTCTTTGCCCTCCTGTGCCGCGAACTGATCGTCAGCCGCGAGATCAAGAGAGTGAAGCTGTGAGGAGAGGCAGGAGACAAAGCGGAGGATGAGAGGCGAGCAGGCAGAGAGGGAGAGGTCGAGGCGACGCAACACGGGAAACAGCATGGCCGTGTCATCCGGGTTCTTCTCCTCCATGATTGAAACCATATCCCACATTTCGGCCACCATCACGGGATCATTGCACTGGTGATTTGGAACCGCGCGCTTGCTGTCCGCCACATCGCAATGCTGAATAAATAGCGACTCGAGGCGCGGAGCTTGCGAGAGGGAGAAGAGGAGGCGTGGATGGGAGGGGAGGCTTCGGGGGAAGTAGAGATCGAGAGAGGTGATAGAGGAGATGGAAGGGAACAGGCAAGAGCGCGGGAAGGAGGAGACGAGGCGAGGAGGCGCTTCAACGAGAGAGAAGTTGAATTGCGAAGGGCTTTGGTGCTGCTTGGTCAGCCATGCGAAGCTGCGGATTCGTTGAGCGAGGGAGACGGCGGAGGGGGGACACTGACAATCTTCTTCGAAGTAAAGAGGCTCGTTGCTTGCTGATAGTGCGCGTCGAACGCACGGCAAGGCTTCGGTGCACGGCACGAGCGACCAGGAGCAGTAGCACTCTTCTCTCTCCGCCGCTGCATTTGCGATGCGCATCCACACGTCGGCGGGTAAGGCGCTCGAGTCCGCGGAAGGAACCTCCGCCACGGGCGGAGGGGTGATGGAAGACGACTCTTCCTCTACTCGTTCCTCCTCATCCCCTTGCTCAGCCTCCACCGTCACCCCTTCTACTACTTCTTCCTCCTGCTCACACAGATTAGTCTTCCTCATCGGCCACTGATGACGTTCGTCCCAGGTGGTGGGACTTCGTCAACGTAGGTGCCTGTGGACCTATAAGATGCCATCTCTGTGTTTTATTCCAGCGAGCAATCACCTCGCCACCAGCCGCGTCACACTAGCGAAGTATATCGTCAGTCAAAAGTTAGTACTGTTCGAGGGTCCTGTGCGGGAAAGGACCCTCACCATATAATTGCTACGGACTTCGGGAAGCAGAGGGATGGACGTGTGCTCAGGGCAGAGTGTCAGGGAAGTTCCGACGTTGATTATTGTGCGAACAACTATTTAAAATACAGTGCATTTAGGATCCATAGAACTTCAAAGATACATCTGCTTAGAAAGCAATTTGCCATACACTCACATGACAGATTAAAGCAGTTCCACCAAGCATGATTGCTATGCATGATCCCCCACTCCTCTGGCTTCCAAAAACGTCCGTCTGTTATCGCGGGTCTTCATCCAGCCAACTTCTGTTTGCAACCCCGCTTCCCTGCTCAGCCCTTCAGCAGCATCCAGCACATACAGCACACATTCACCATCGTCCCACGCCTCAAACCGCTCCAGGCTACTGCATCCAGGTAGCAGTCGAGCCAATATTTTCCTCGCATTATCCTGGTCCGTATCCCCATTTCCAGCATCCACATGCCCGCCATTTTCCGCCGATGTCGAACAACCTCCTGGTTCCATGCCTGCCTCACCTCGGCTTCTCGATGTGCCCTCTCCTCCACACCTCCTCCTTTCCAGGCTTCTTTCCCCGTTCCTCCCTCTCAACCCATCCTTCAGAATCCCCACAACCTCACGCCCAATGCGATTGAAAAGCATCCCCTCCAAGCCACGAGGCCCGAGCAAAGCCAAGCGAAACTCTGACAGAGATACAGAGTCCCAGCCTACAGCATGGAAACAACGCAGACCCTGCCAAGCACTCAGATCCAGCGACTGGGACAGGTCATTCCTCCACTCGAGGACCTTGACAGTCGCTATCACACCCGGCGGGAGGCATGCAGCCTGCTCGGGCAGCATGTTGGTGCAGAGGGAGTGAAGCGAGGTGAGGTGAGGCGCGTGCAACACCCAGGGGCAGGTTCCGTCGGTGTGAAGGAAGAGAGATGTCAGGTGCGCGGGGCAGGTGGGGAGCAGGTGCAGGCGGGAGTGTCGGGACCACCAAAGTATTCTGAGGAGGGAGAGATGAGGGGCGGAGAGCGAAATGGAGCAGTTGATCCCGTAAATCTCGACTTTAGTGGCTAGTGGGAGGTGAAGAGAGAAGGACGCTCGTTCGTCCATGTCCCCCTCATGCCCCCTCCGCCCTTCCGCGTTCCCACCTCTTTCAGCACCCTCTCCGCCTTCCTGAGCAGCGAATTGATCTTCGGCGCCGAGAGTGAGAGAATGAAGCTGGGCAGAGAGGCAGGAGACGAAGCGAAGGATGAGAGGGGAGAAGGCCGAGAGCTCGAGAACGAGGTGGCGCAGCACGGGAAATGGCCTGTCCTTGTCATCCGGCTTCTCTTCTTCCATGGTCGAAATCAGGTCCCACATTTCGGTAACCATCACGGCATCATTGCAGCGATGCAGTGAGATGTCGAGATCTTTGTCTGACATAGACACAATGCCATGCCTAATATAAAGTGACTCAAGGCGTGGTGCTTGCGAGAGGGAGACGAGAAGACGTGGATAGGAGGGGAGGGCTCGGAGAGATTGAGAGAGGTGATGGAGGAGAGGAAAGGGAACAGACAAGAGCGCATGAGGGAGGAAAGGAGGCGGGGAGGCGCTTCAGTGAGAGAGAAGACGAATCGCGAGGGGCTTGAGTGCTGGTTGCACAGCCATGCGAAGCTGCGGATTCGTTGAGCGAGGGAGCTGGCGGACGGCGCACAATGGCAATCTTCGTGGAACACGAGATGCGCTTCGTCCAATAGAGCATGTCGAATGCACGGCATGGCGATGGCGCACAGAACGAGCAGCCATGAGCAACAGCAATCTTCTCTCTTCGCAGCTGCATATGCGATGCGCAGCCACACGTCTGTAGGCAGCGCGTTTAGATCTCCGTAACGAATCTCCGCCTCAGGTTGGTTGTCGAGGGCTCGCCGCGCCACTACCGGGTGCACTCCGCGTTTCGATCGCTTTGCACAGGGAGGGGTGGACGGCTCCTCCTCTACTCGTTCTTCCTCCTCCCCTTGCTCAGCCTCCACTCCTACTTCCTCCTCCAACTGCTCACAAGCACTAGCTTCTTCGCTCATCTTCGTCCTCGCCACCAGCCGCGGGGCACCAATGATTCGCAATAGCTAGTTAAGTAGGGTCGAATTTCCCGATACCTTCCTGTGCTTGGAAAGAAACCCCCGTATGTAGAAATTGAAGGAAGGACGTGAGAAACGCTCGATGTTCAAGTGTGTCGGGCCCTCTGATATTTTCGCGCAAGTCGAAGTGCCGGGGTGATGGGGTATGGCGTGGGTGACTAGATTCCCGTGTGACGATTCAGAGGCGATGTCAGTGGGATTGGAAGGGAACATTGTTACGGAAGCAAATAATGAAGTGCATGAAGCAGATAATGAGATGACCCTGAGCACCGCACTCCTTATACATGCTTCCTGCTTTGCCATAGGAACTCTCTATTCGTAGAAACAAACCTAGGGACAGAACCACCTCGAGAATGGAGTGACGAAAACCATTGGGTTGGAACAATACCGAGGGCAAGCAAACCCAGGGGACTTCAGAAGTTGGTGTGGCCTTGAAGCTGTCTCAAAGTGAAAATAGAGGGCGAGTGTTCGCTGTACAGTACGAACACCAAAAAGGCTTCTAGGTATATGTTTGCATTACACCTAGGAATCCAGAACTAGGCTAGGATGTACCAACTGATAAGAAATTGGCCCACAATACCGTAGGCTGCACGAAGTGCCTAATATAAACCATGGCGGCCTTCTTGTAACAGTGTCGTTCCCTCTTGATGTTTTGGTTTGAAACGCACACAATCTGTTATGCTGAAGGAGCAATTACTACTGTATTCCTAACACATTTCCATTCAAAAAAAATTACGATATGAAATTTAATGAGAAGAGAAGGCATTCCTGTAGGCTGCAGGAGCCGACTCTACCGAGTACGAAATCGAGGAGTCAGAAGAGTCAAAGCGACACAAGAAACCGCCAGATCAAGACCGATGCAGGCAGAAACATTTGAAATGAAAGAGCGGGAACAGGTTTGAAACGGGTTCCCGCGCCGCACGGTTTGAATTCGCTGCAATAAGGGAATGTACCCCTTAGAGTACATGGCTAGTCTAGGTCGTTTCGCATTCCTTTGTATTTCTATATAAACTTAACGTGTGCATGCTATTATCATCTCAGTCATTTACACTCATTATGACCTGGGGTCACTACTTCCGCTGCAATACTACCTGTGATCAACCCTGAGCTGATCCCTGGCTAAGTCCTATTTAGGATTGTAACATGGTATGAGAGCTACTCAGGGATTCTTCGCAACTCTACTTCCGTAAAATTCGCCGAACCAAGATCTCGCGAGCGGCACACGCTCCAAGACCAAGATGGCCAGAGGATCCGGAGGCCAAACGAATCTGACGGCTGAAGGACAAGCCAACCCGGTTGCGACAAATGAGGCGACAACCACGATAAGCACTGCCGCACTCGAGCAGTTGTTTTCGCGACTATGAACTATGGAGAAAGATCTCCAAGCATTGCGGAAAGGCGACGCGGCGACCTCCTCGCAACCAGCAAAATCTGCTCAGCCGACCACAAATGGCCATGGCACCGCCCCACACACCTTCTCCCTCGACACAAAAAAGTCAACACCAACAGCCCCCCGTCCAAGTGATGAAGTCATTAACACTGCGCAAGCACGCTTCCTCAGTGTTTCAAAAATCAAGACCACCGCCGCGTTGGACAGCAAGGATTTCTATACATGGAGTTTTGAGCTAGAGCTCCTCCTACAAACATCGCAGATCTACCACTACTTCGACGGCTCCTACACTAAACTGGTGGAAGACACCGAAGACGCCCGGGCTCAGAACTACAGCGAGTCCCTTATGGCGTACAGTGTGCTGCTACGCAACATGACGCCTGCGGAGCAACTCGGCATCCGCTCCTACAAAGAGAGCGCCGCTCCAGCTTTGGAAGCCTGGAAGCACCTCGTTAAGGTATATCAGCCGAAGGACTCAGTCACCTCCAGCAGGCTCCTGCAGCAACTCATGGAGACCAAGATGGGGCACGGGGAGAGAGCGAACACATATATTAATCGCTGTCGGAACATTCGTGATCAAATCACGAAACATGGAAGCGCGATTTCGGAGGAGATATTCGTCAACATCGTCCTCCAAGGACTCGGGCCTGAGTGGAAGCCCTGCAAAGCGCTACTCCAACAGAGAGGAATCATTTTTTAAGCAGCGCTATGCGCCGCCGGTCCTGACTGAACAACAGGACATGGACTCGAGCAAGACAAGCTCAGCGCCGCGCCGAGAGCGCCTCGCCTTCTACATCGACAACCGTGAAGAGCGACGACAACCAAGGCGCCATTATTGCAAAATTTGCAAAGTCTTCGGACATTCAACGGACCGATGCAAGTCCCGGTCCAACTATCGCCACGCAAACTCCACTCACCATAACAATTGGGTCGGCCGACAAGACGCTCGTCATTTCCAGCCTCAACATCAAGCTTCTCGCCCTCCTGCACAACAACAGCAGCAGACACAGGCACCTCAAACGGGAGCTACCAGAAAAGTAATCGCGAACATGGCGACAAGACGTCGCCCACGAGCTGCTTCACTAGACGAAGAGGACGAACCCACCGGCGAACTAATCCAACCTGAAGTGGGATATAACAATCCCCTTACTGAACGCCACTAATACTACGAAGATGAGGACGAGCAAGAGTGGCACCTGCCAATACAGCTGAGAAGAAAATTCCTTCAGAAGATATCAGACGACTATCGTCACACCACGGCTCGCGCTGCTTTTGCGTAACAACAACAACGCACACAACAAATGGTACCTGGACAGCTGCTGCGGTCAGCACATGGTGGGATCTGTACGCTACATCTCGAACATTAGCCACGCTCCCCCCACCTACGTCACCGTCGCAGACAACGGACAACTGCGCGCAAACGCGCAAGGCATCGTCGTGCTGCAAGCTCGAGACAGCAATACGCATATCACCTTCAACGACGTGTTCTACGTACCGGACTTACGCTTCAACCTGCTGTCTGCGGCACAACTCTTTGACTGCGGAGTCATGCTCACCACAGATCCCTACACCCGCGACCTCATCCTTACCTTCGCTCCTCCTGACACAGCCGTCGAAACTCACAAATACCTTGGGAGAGCGCGCTCAATCAACGGAGTCTACGTGCTCGACTTCGACATACCTGACTGCAGAGCATCGTCGGACGAACTCGTGGACCTCGTTCCCCTGGAATTCGCCCGCACGAACGAAGAATCCTGGCAGCATCAGGATGGACGTCCTTGGATCCGCCGCAGTCCTCACCCTCATGAGATAAACCTGCACCAACCCGGACCCGACGGACTCTGCACCACATGTTTCACGCCCACGGCGAGTCGCACAGAAGAAGTTGAGAGAGATTTTGCGGCAATTCAGGAAGCAGAAAGCGCCGAGACAGAGCCAGAAGGCATGACAGAAATGGAGCTGGCTGTCACCACTCACCGCATCTTCGGCACCAGGAATGAAGAGCTCGGCATGGCGGAGCAGGAGCGGCCAACACCCGCGGCGGAAACTCTCCGCTGGATCCTGGAAGAAGCCACGATCAGAACATTCGATGAGGAGAATCGACCGCGCCCTTACCCTCGCAATGTTTACCGCACCATCGACAAGGAATGGAAAGACCCCGACGCACCAGAGGAGCTCAGCGTCAAGGAGGAAGAAGACAAGGCAAAGGCCGAGAAGAAGGAAAAAACTGTATCAGGAACGTCTCGCGCCCGGCTGGGACGAAGAATCAGCAAGAGCCGGGGGCTGGGGAGATGAAGACAATACCGAAGCAACATGGGGATCCGCAACTGGCGCATCAGGCACAGTAAGAGGTTGGGGAACTAGCGGCTAGGGCGATACAGGAGGATGGGGACTCGCCGAAGGCGAGCTCACCCAAGAAGAAATCGAGGAAGCAGAGAGAGAGAGATGGCCGCCGAGAGAACACCACCAAGGATCGCAGTTCCTCTCGGCCGACCCCCACGTAATCTACCATCACCACCCCGCTCACCCCACACCTGGGAATCCCCTTGGTCGGAGATTGAGGAGGGGAATGTACCAGCAACTCCACCTCGCGACGCTCTTGGACCAATCTCCCGCCCAGATCCACTCGCCCGCTTCATTGACGGCACCAGGACTCCGCTTAACATCATCCCCGACCGCAACTTCCTCGCGCTCTATCTCACGACAGCACCTGCACAAGGGGAGACAGCAGCAGAACCATAAGCAGAGGAGCAGGAAGACGAAGCAGAACCAGGAGAAGAAGAAGGACCAATGCTCCTAATTCGCCACGAGACAGAAGCAGAGGCAGCGGAACATCACGCACGATACCTGCGCAC